TTGTGTCAAATGTTCTACTGACTTCATCAGTCCTCGTCAGGATATCAACTGATCAGTGCCCATCATACAATGGCCTCTGTTGTTTATGAGTAGTGTCAACAGAGCTTATATATATATATATATATATATATATATATATATATATATATATATATATATATATATATATATATATATATATATGCCAACATAAGGCATACAGGGCAGTCTTCCATAAAAACCAAGATAACATAAATGAATGTGTTTTTAAATGCAAGTTAAACAAGGGTTCAATTAGAACTCAACAAACCTCTTCAAAGTGTCACAAATAAGGGTTCAATTAGAACTCTATGTTGCCTTTAATGATGCCATTGGATTCTTAAAGACTGCAACCTTTATCTCTAAGTAACTATAACAGATCCCAGACAACATGATAAATTAGTTTGGCAATTATCAGCCTGACATATTATGCCTTAAACCTAAAAAATACTGCCATTAAAGCATGATTACTTCTGTCAAATACCTGCATTTTGACAACGCTGATAATATTTTGTATACTATTCTACTACCCTACAGCACTACGACAATTTTGACTGCAAGTGCAATGAAAAGACAATTTATAATGCACGGAGGTTTAAACTACAGGCGACATCCCCTAGCTATGGCTAAAATAACTTCCGATTGCTACTTCTCTGACGTAAGACGCATCAGAATTTTCATTATCACTTAAATGTCTAAAATATTGCAAATCTAAGGTACCCGACTTAAAGATAAGTTAACCACCTGTTAAGAACATCCTCTTACCTCTTTCTTTACATTTTTCAGCAGTTTGTCTCTGGTATCTGCCTCTGGAATGAGAACCATATTGATGAGAAAATCTGCTGGCATGTTTGTGGTGAATCTAACAGCGAACCTGCGGTAATATCATTACAATGGAAAGCTTTCAAACGTCAATACTCACCGCCTTCGCACGTCGCTGCCATCGTTAATGTTGATGACCGAAGGACTTCCAACCCAAGAGCATTGCGCGCAAAAACCAAACAAATTATGCCAAGGTCTTATTGGCATTACACTTTAAGAAAATGGTCAATGTTGAAATTGCAATATCTAACTATCAGAATGACGGGTTAATCTATGTAATTTTTCTCTCCTCTCAGTTATTAAGTAGTTGTATCCATCCGCTAATAATCACGGGGTAAATCATATCTCTGTGAAAAGATTGGTTTAAAAGTCGACAACTGTGTCAAAAGCTTTAAATATTTTATAAGGACTGTGTTCCCATTATAAAAGAACAATTGTATTCAATCAATTCATATTCCCATTATCTTTCATTTTTTTCTTTTACTATTAAAAACCCGGAAGTAAACAGTACACACGCAGCAAATCATGTCCCATCTCAGCAGCGGCCGTGTTAATCTTGGGATTCTTAGAGAAACATACAGGCGTGAACTACTGGAATGTATAGATAAATGCACAGGGAGTAAGGTATGCATATTTTCGTCCCATCCGACCATTAATGAAAAATGCAACACGCATGTTTTCAAAGTGTTAGTATAACACTTCCCATTTTTTCTCACCTCACACGAACTCCAAAAGGAAGCACGTTTGCATATACGAGTAAATGACAGCCTTTATTACAAATTTTAGGAATTGACAAATCTTGATAGTTTCAAAATTAACTGATATATGTTAGATTTAGACCATAGGGTAGTCGTTATTTATGATCTATATTTATGTGGCTAGTATTGTGACATTAGGATTAAGCTCCTCCCCCTTCAGCTGAAAGTTAACTCATAGTCACATTTTTGCTTAAAACCGACCAGATGCCATCATTTAGTTTCAAATAGCATATAAAACATAAAGAAATGCCAAAAGCTGTTGACTCATGTTTCCTGAAAAACAATATTTGATCAGATATTTTCTCCTTAATTTCTTGCTGTTCAATACGTGTACAGTACATAGCCATCATTCGTTTCCACCAATGTATTTATGCTAATGTGCATACTACAGCAATGCATCACAAATTACTAAATAATTTGGCGGGAAACTTTTAGGACATTCAAGGATAAACATACATATGAGGGAGATGAAGATTTCCCAAAATACATATATTACATCTGTACTAGTTGCTTATGTGTCTCATGTAATGTCACCACCCCAAAGGATAAACTAAATTAATCACCTGGACAACCAAACAATAGCTTGAAAAAACTTTACTTTTCTTTCCAGTTCATAAAACACTGTTAAATGCGCAATAGCATAAGTATTGAAAGGAGGGTAGGGAAGTGGCAGGGGGTTATATATAGCACAGAAGGCATCAAAGCAGAAAATATCTGGTCAAATATCATTTTTTGGGAAATATGAGATGGTACACCCTTTGTTATTTCCTTAAGTTATGCTATTTGAAACTAAATGATGGCATTTGGTTGGTTTTAGTGGCAAAGATTTCATTCCTTATGTTACTTATCTGAGTCACATATTTATGGCTGAATATCCTCAAGGTACAGTTGAACATACACTTGATGTAACTCAAATTGCACTTTTGCTTTAGGGTTATTGCCCTTTGCTCATTTTTTATTTACACATATGTAGTTTTGGATTTGGACCTTATGCCCTCAACAATTAATTTTATCAGTATACCGGTATGCTAGAGCAGTAATTTCAAAAAGAAAAATATTACAACATCTATTACATATCATCATTCAAAATTTAAAAACTCTTCATAATGTAACAGCTATCTCTACATGTTACTATCCATGTAATGTACCAGTAAACCAGCTGGTGGTACATATGTAGGAGGCAGTTAAATCTCTGATCTTCATTGTTGCTTTAAATGCTATCTTGTTTCTTTAGGCTTTAGTATGGGATGAAGCATTGACTGGGCCTGTCGGACTTATTGCTGAGTACCCACTGCTGAAGGTAAGTCACATTTAGGTTTTCAAAAGGTAGATATTATTACCAACTTTAGCAGCACAAGTGTTGACATCTTTTCTGTAGGTTAAGTAACTTTCTTTTTGATTCGCCAAACATCGTATCAATCTCAACTAATTTTTATACTTACATACTCAACATTTGGTTGTAGTTTTTTTTTGTTTTATTTTGAAAGCCAGACTACCTTTTCACTTGGTATGATTTTAATTCCAGGAACATGAAGTTGATAAAATGTTTCCTTTGTCTTCTGGAAGACTTCCTCAAAGCAGTGTCCAGAACATCATCTTCATCACAAGGCCAAAGTTGGCATTGATGAATGTTATTGCGGAAAATGTTCGCAAGTATGGTTTTTGCTACATATTCATTTAAATTGCACTAAAAGCAGGGGTTTGCAAGAAATTATATCCAAAAACACCATCTTCACTTCCTCATACAGTCTAATTTAACAAACCTATCTTTTAGCTGGAAGTTGCTGAAAACATTTATTTAGTTGTAACAACTCTTCCTTGCCTAATCCATCTTGCTTAAACTTAAGTTAATATTTCTTTGAATTTTTTGTTTAATTTCTATATTTTAAAAAAATGGTACCATCCTTCATGTCTAGTTACATTCTTATTTGCATCTTATATTCTAGAGAAGATCAGAGTGGAAGCTTTAGGAAGGAATTTCATGTAGTGTTTGTTCCTAAGAAAAGTCTCCTGTGTGAGAGAAAGCTAAAAGTAAGAATGACAATTTGAAATTGGCATAATTGTTAAGAAATTGATTGGAAAGACAATTCATTATTTATTTAAGACTTCTGTACTTACAAAATACAAAGATCATATTAAGAAGTCAATGGTTTTGGTATCATACGTGCATATGATAGCTTGTTTTCATTAAGGCATATTTTTTTCAGGAACTTGGTGTTTATGGAAATTTCAACATCATTGATGAGTTTAGTATGGAGCTCATTCCTGTGGAGAGTGATGTGCTGACACTGGAATCAGAATCAAGTTTTAAGGTCAGTGCCAAAATTTCTTATAAATTTATAAGAGCAACAATATAATTCATCAACTATTAAAATAATCCCACAATTTTAGTTATCATTTTCATATTACTTTTTGTTTTGAAAAATAAGATAATTTGTTTTTGTTTTATCTCACAAGTTCAAGCTTTTTGTTGGGTCACATTTGTTGTCACCTTTATGCATTAGTGTAAGAGGTCTTTGCTTATTTATTTTAAATAATTGTGTATAACCATTTCAGGAATGCATATTGGAAAATGACAGCACTTCCATGTATTATGCGGCTAAAGCGTTGATGACACTTCAATCACTTTATGGAATCATTCCAAGCATACATGGAAAGGGAGAGCTATCCAGAGTAGGTCTGATTTTGCTTTAAAGTAAAAATAATGAATGTTATGAATATTTTACTTACTGGTAAAACCCTCTGAAAAATCAAAGTCAATTAATCAATATTTATTTTTTAGGTCTTTGTCTTGAAAGTGGTATTTTTAAAGAGAGAAAACTAAAGGCAATTAAAGGAAAAGCTTTTTTTTTTCATTGCAGCATGTATGTGACATGATTCTACGCATGCGTAGAGAAATGGCCGGTAGCGAGCCCCAGATAACCCCGCAGATAGACACACTGTTCCTGGTAGACAGAACTGTGGACCCTCTGACACCTCTCCTCACACAGCTAACATATGAGGGGCTCATTGATGAAACATTTGGAATTAATAACAGTAAGTGTGAATTGTTGTACCACTCCTGTGATTAAAGTTAACTGCCCCTTTTCTGCTTAAAATAACATAACAAATTTCATAAAAAGATACATTTCATCCTAAAAGTAGCCTATAAGTAATAAAGCCTAAATTGTGTAAGGAAATCAGTTAATGTAGTGTTTAAATGTGTTTTAAAAGATTTCAATTTTACACATATTTCTTTCCAGCAACCATCAAAGTTCCACCAGAGAAATTTGCCAAACAAGAAGGTCAAGCAATGGCAGAAGTTCCCACAGAACCCAAAAAGATTAGGTTAAACTCTGCTGAAGAACTCTTTGCAGAAATTAGAGACAAAAATTTTAATGCTGTTGGACCAGTGTTGAGTAGGAAGGCCAAGTTGATATCAGCTCAGTATAATGTGAGCTTCTGAAACTACATGTACTTTTTAATATCTGTCAATATATATGGTGCCTGTCTTTTCTGTTTGTATACATATAGTTGGAAGTGTGTCTTAAAGATACATAAGAAATGGGAGTAACATAAAGAACATATACATAACATGATCATCTTTAAAAAAAATTATGTATAAATTTACTTTGATTTCAAATCAATATGTAAGTGTGTATGCTTGTGTGTGTGTAATTTCATTATTCTCACATTCAGAAGCTAGAACAGTAGTGATAAACAACAAGCCTGAAAAAATAAAATGTCACTTAATTAAATAACAAAGATTTTTTTCATGTGTATTTCAGGAACGCCACCAAGCTAAATCTGTGAGTCAGATGAAGGAATTTGTATCAAAGCTACCGCACATGCAGCAGGCCAAGCAATCTTTATCCACACGTGGGTACTCATAACATGTTTTCATGGCTGTGAAAAAGTAGTAGTGAGTTTGCCAATGTGAGTCGTAATATATCTGATGCATACAAACGCATGAAACCTTGGTGATATGGTGTGCAAGCCATTTAACATAGGTCCCATACCAAATAAATTAGTGCAGTTCCAACACTCGAATCACAAGCAGTTCCACCATATCAAGCATCATAGAAAATAAGATGCATGTGTGATAGTTATAGTTTGAATTGTGTCTTTACAGGCTATTGATTATGAAGTGCTTGATTTTCTAAATAGTAAATTTAGAAAAGGTCTGTTTATTTGATTCAGACACTTCCATAGCAGAACTGGTGAAGGAGGTAACAGATGATGACCAGTTTATGGAAAATCTAAGAGCTCAGCAAGGTGTGCACTCAGTTTATTTATTTATTTATTTATTTATTTATTTATTTATTTATTTATTTATGTAAGAATTATCTTCCCCATGACCCTCACTGTTTCTTTTACTGCTTCAAACAATTTTAATGCCTTTTTCTCCACATTAATATGGAATTTCAAAACAAATCAAATTAAGAAATCATTCAGTTGCCATTTCTCCAGTGTTTCTTTTGCAGATTTTGTCAATGGGTTAGAAACAGATAAAGCTCATCCATATATTGATGATTGTATAGCCAAGGAGGAACCATTGATTAAGGTAAATAAGAGCCCAATGTTAGTTTTGCACTGTATGACTGCACTGAAATTATGGGCCTGTGTAAATGAAAATTATGTGGTTGTATTCCTAGCAGATTGTCATGTCTAATCAGCATTTTATTATGGTGAACATGCTCTTAATTGTGCATGGTCCAAACTTTGAGCTAAAGATGTAGTTTGACAATACTGTGTAGATTAGCCATCTAGTCCCATTTTACAGAATTTTTTGGGACCTGTTACCGGACATGTTACTGGATGTAAAGTTTAGTCTTATTGGAGATGCTGGGTCTCTATTAAATTGTTCACAGTCTGTTACATAATCTGCACATTGGGAAGGAGATGCAATGGTATCAGTAAGACTAAATTATGAGTCCAGAAAAAGATTTTAAAACTTGTCTATTTTGATACTTCATGTCCAATAAGATATTACCATGAACACTTGCCTCAGTTTTCAACTTCTACAATTGGGTGTGGCAGCATTTTTTTTTAAAACTTTTGTTTGCCATGTTATTGCAGGTTCTGCGTCTGATGTGTGTGCAATGCTACTGTAACAATGGATTCAAACCAAAAGTCCTTGAATATTATAAAAGAGAAATAATACAGGTATGGCAATATGGCATGCTTTCAGTTTAATGAAAGTGAATGTATGTGGTTAAGTTGTACATTTCATTGTAAATTTTCATTCAGTAAAGACTTTGTATAAACACTGCTTAAACATTTGAATGCTGATTAATTTTCTTATCTTATTAATTATGCTAAGAGAGAAGTGTTATGATATCAGTGAACCAATATGATATGACAGTGTTATGCTCATTTTTCCAAGACTTATGGTTACCAGCACATCCTTACGTTGAACAACCTGGAAAAAGCAGGATTACTCAGACAGCAGGGGCAGCGGACATATCCCGTTATTAAGAAAAGTCTTCGATTGGTTGTAGATGAAGTAAATGAACAAGTAGGTTACTGTCTGTAGATAAAACTGTATTGATTGCTGTAGAAGAAAAGAGAATATTCTCACAAAGTGCATTATTTTAACAGACTTAGATTATCTGTTCTAATGTCATGACAAGTGCAGCAATAGATTTCTCAGTATGCCAAGGAATGAATTATCACGTGTTGCAGTTGTTATTGTAATGGCTAGAGACCGATCGTTGATTTTTCATCCATCTTTATACTAAGCCTGTAGCTGGTGGTATATACCCAATAGGTGATATCTCCTCTCCATTTCTGTATTTTATATTTGGAAGTCGCCATAGTATTTCTTGAGTTTGGGGTAATTTATTTATACGTACATTTTCACAGGTGTCAGTCATCATTTGCCAAAACTGAAAACGAACTTTTTACATATCATCCTTTTCATTTTCCTTTAATGTGCTCAACTCAGCTAGCTAAATAGCCAGGAGAAATTGATACCTTTCTGTTTCTCTAGTTATCAATAGCTTTTTCACAGCTTAATATCTTTATTTCATTATATCCAGAACCCCAATGATATTGCCTACGTGTTCAGTGGGTATGCCCCCCTGAGTGTGCGCCTGGCTCAGATCTTAACTCGCCCAGGTTGGCGCAGCATAACGGAGGTGCTTCAGATGCTTCCTGGATCAACTTTTGAAGAAATACAACAGATTCCTGTTGGACTGAGAAAAAGAAGTAAGATTTAATAATTATCAGTCAGTTCCACTATTTTTGGATAAAGTACAGTATTGTAGTTACTACAAACCACAAATCCCAAGTTAACAGAGGTTAAAACTAGTGTCTGCCAAAAGATTAGACATCAAATTAGAGTTCTCAACTTATTAATTGTCAGTGTTATGCATTTTTTTATTTATTTTTTTATTTTTTTATTTATTTATTTTTATTTATTTTTTGTTGTTGTTGTTGAAAGGTTTATTATTGAAAGTTTCCAAACATTTATTGCTTTATGAGAACTTATACGTTCTATTTCTAGAAGCCTCTATAACATCAACACATTCCAACACAATGGATCAGAAAGTGGTGCTCATATTCTTCCTGGGAGGCGTGACATATGCAGAGATTGCTGCTCTGCGTTTCTTATCACAGCAGGAAGATGGTAAGATGTATTGCTTTGAAAGTGATACTTAGCCTAGATAGATGTTAACTTCTAGGAAAATTATTAGTGAATTTTTTTTAATTTATAAATCGTCAAAGACAATTGAACTTGTATTTGTACCACCAGCGTAAGTGTGGTAATACATTGGATGTGATCTGGAACTGCTGTATCAACCAGATACAAACTTCATCACAGCTTTTCATCAGAAACCAATGGTTTCATTAATATTCAGCCACATATATATATATATTGTCAGTGATGTGGCCACCACAAGGCAACATAGGCAAAACTTTTCCACTTTGATGTATTATATCACAGTAATTGAGAGAGACATTGGTATAGGTATTATCCCACTATTATGCTGGACTTTGCTGGTGGTACATCAAAGAGAATTGTTCCTTCCTGATTGTCAAGTTTTGAAATTTGAATTATGAAGACGAGAGAAAATTGACCAACATTTATTTATTATCAATTAATGTGGAACATCTCATTTTAGGGCCTGCTGATTACATAATAGCTACAACCAAACTGATTAATGGGAAAACGTGGCTAGAAGCAATAATGGAAAATGTAGTGCCAGAAGAAGGGAACCCATTTTTGATGTAACAGATTTGGAAATAATCCAATGAATGGAGTTCTGTATTATTCAGTCTTGTGGCAAGTGACAAAGGAAAGATTAACTGGAATTCTCTTACCTCAGAAATGAGTCCCCTTGAAGACAATTGCATGAGTGTTTATGTAGTCAATAAGTAGAAACTTAAATAAGAACTGTTGACCCAAAGTTAAGATGCTCATATTCTTTAACTGTCTAGCCAAATGATGTGATGACAGAATAGTTTGAATTGTACAAATACAGAAATATGTTTAAATGGTAATGGATTATGGTGTTTTACATCTTTATTATACCCATTTAAATTAATAAATATAATTTAAATGTGAAGTCCTGTTTTACATTGCCAGTTTCATTTATGATCCTGCAAACCCTATTATAGGTGGTATGTTTCCAAAAGCTATGGAATGTCAGTTCAATGCCTCTGAAGATTGTCAATTACCAACAAAGGAAACTTTACAAACATTTTGTTGCTTATAAAACAAATTTAAAACTTATTTTAATCCCATTGAATTAAGATGAAAAAATAAAAAGACTACTTTCATTTTACAAACAATGGGGTGTCGGCCTGACGACTTAAATCTGTCCATTTGATGTACAATTTCTGTACAAAATTCTAATATAGAGTACATACAGAAATAATAACTTATTTAAAAGAGCTCACTGGGCATGAGTTCATACAGAACTTTTTTTAACTGCTCACTACACACAGGGTATCAAGGAAATCTATATAAACCATGATTCAATCTCATTATACCTGAGAAAAAAAATAACTTTGAAAAAAATTCTGGTACCGCTCCATATTCCACACACTCCAGATTGACGTGTCATAACCACCAAACCACAAGTATGGTTAATATCCCACAGGATGAACTGCTAGAAAAAAAAAACAATCCTGCTTATAGCTTTTCCCTTATGCTGAACTCAATTTGATATATGACACAGTCATCACAAATGGGTGAGAAGTGAAATGCTTCCTCCAGTCCAGCCTAGTTCCTCAAGATGTGGATAATGGATTGTGTGATGAGTGCTTTGATGATGATGGTGTCCAGATGACTGATGATGATGAAATTTACCAGTTAAGTGAGATAAGATTATTCTCCTTCCTGCTTTTCTCTAACTGCATCCTTAAACAACAAAAAATCTGTATTATTGACAATCAACTTTGTACATGCAGTAGACTGCATAACTCGGACAGTTTGAGATTGTAATATCTTTTCTAGTTAGTAAAGTTGAACAATGTTTAAGCAATACTAAGCTCATACAAAAGACGATAATTCTTTTTTTTTTAATTTGAGATACACAATGATCTGAAATATAAAGTGTCCACTTACAAAGAATCTTTATTTCTTAATTATTCTCAAATGACTTGATTATTCTCATTGCCTCTCTGATCTATAAAACATGTATAACATGATTTTGAAGGTTTTATGCTTGTCTTTTTGAAAACATTTCTATCATAAATATGTACCACCAGAAAAGAGATCCTATTAATGAATTTTTTATAAAGTATATCCTTAATAAAAATCATTATTAGGACCTCTATCAGAAACTGGTAAAGAAGAATTCAAACTAAGAAGGAAGGGTACCTTAAACCTTTCCTCCAGCAAGGAGACTTCACTGATGAGATCTGTGATGGCATTTGTGTATGCTTCTTGCGGACTATAGTCTGGTGTTGTCTGGATCCTGAGCACAAACTTGTGTTCCAATGGATGAGGAATCTTGTAGCCTGCAAACAGGACTTGTGGGTCTTTTAGGAGTTGCCTAAAATAAAAACACTCATGTCAGGCTCACCTACACCTAGTGGTTGTTAAGTAAATGAACTGCTTGGATGAATAAATACAGAATTTTTTCTTGAGTTGACCCTTGATTTAACAAAAAAAAATGGTCAATAAATTATAAAAAAAGAGACTGAACATGATAGGAATAGGCAGGAGGTTGTAAATTGATATAAGGAATGATGTGCACTTATATGGATTTTCTGTACACATTTTATTTAAAACAGGTCAGTTTTTGGTAACAAAAAAATGTACAAGGGTCTCCCTCCAACCTCTGTGACATGGGAAGACACAGGTGATGGCCATTTATGAAATATTATTATATTTCAATGTCAATCAAATAAAATTTTGAAACTTGTTAATATATGTAAAAAAACTCTTACATATTGTATTGTAATTGTTAATTACACAAACATTGTATTTTCAAATCATTTTTTTTCACTTACGTTGTGAGCATGTTTCCTAAAGTGTGGTCCTCTTTCATCACAGTGAAGAGAGCTGCATTTGGAACTTTAGTGTCTTTTTCTATGATTATCCTGGAATTAATTACATTTGGCAATGATAAATTACTTGGGGCTTACAAATAAAGCTTAGCACCCGGCCATGGACTTTCTGCATGTCCCAATTCAACTGCCAGCCAAAATGCATCCACTGGTGGAAAATATTTCAACATGGGCTGTAAAACGTCAATCCTGTTACATATGTTAAATTAAACTCTTCCTAAAAATAACATTTCTTTAGAAACCGATTTAAGTAAGACAACGTTCAAGCTCCGTTACACTGGATTGCTAATCTACTGCCCTCTACTTTCCGCTGTCTAGTGTCGAGGATGAAGGTCTGTCGACATTTAACTATACATCTTCAAATGTGCGATTCGGGTAGATTCAAACTATGGACAACAAAGTCAGCCGAATTCCATGTGACACCAGTTTCTTTATAAGCTCATCGAATCCAACTCAAAGTATACACCCAGTCATATTTCAACACGATATGCCATAGCCGGTTGTCGAACCCATTGTTTATCAGTTAGTATATTTACCGTTTAATCAATCTAGTATGTTCCACTTAACAAATACTGTACGATACCTATCTTCAACCACTTATTTTCATGCAGAAAATTCTCATCATACGTACTTTTTTTCTCCCTCAAACAAGAGAAATGTCTCAAATCTTGGCGGCGCATTCATCCTGATCCTGATGCACAGTACTAACAATCACCACTGGCATCGATAAAACAGACGTTTCAATTCAAGATGAGCCACATTGGTAGTTTTAACTACATTTATCCATAGAAGTAAAGAAAATTTTCTCTACTTCTATGATTTATCCTATTTATCACTGTTTTGGCGCACTGTTTGGCGACCGAACAAAAGTTATCAGAGTTATGAGCACTTTTTTCCTCTTAAGTGATTTTTTCAACTCTAAAATTGTCAATTGATTTTTTAAATTTATATCAAAAATCTTTGTCCAAGCCTTGTTCGATGTGCAGGTGTGTGTGTGTGTGTGTGTGTGTGTGTGTGTGTGTGTGTACACGCACGCGAGCGTGTGTGCGTGCGTGAAGATCAAGACGAAAAAAATGAGTGTATAACGTCCGCACCAAATATATCTGTCTCTTATTTCACGTGAGATTTGTGAAGCGTTTTGACTGCATAATTTTAATGTCACTGTTTTATACCTGATCACTGTTTTCGTTCAAAGCGCAACGTGTGGCATTGCATATTGTGTGACAAATGAAGTTTCATATATCAATTTTCATCATTTCCTATTTTCTATGTTCAAATCGCAGTGTCCATATCCTCAACACCCGAGTCTGCCTGCACCGCCGGAGCTGGAGCAAGAGTGGAAACGTTTTTGTCGCCAAAACAACCGAAAAGCGCTGTTGCCGTTTTGCTTCAAAGCCACATGATAAGCTACCAAATGATAAAATTGTGACTGGGCATGTTTTTAATAATAATAATAATTTAAGATCAAAACTTTATAATTCAGATATTTGATTATAAAAAAAGACATATTGTCAGTTTAAGTTATAAGAACTGCATGTAATAATATACCAAATGATATACATGTATAAATAATAGGCTAAAGTGTCAATGTTTTTCGCTCTGTGGATACTCACACTGTGTTAAACGGCATACTTCACACGTTTGAAAATGTCCAAACGAATTTTTTTTATGTATGAGAAGGCCTTTCCTGCAAAATTTCTTATCTTTCTTAATCCAGGCAATTAAAATGATAAACCCTTCAAATAAAAGTTTACCTGAACTATGTGCCAAAATTACGAAATGTCAGGAAAATATATGACGGCTAAATGAATCGTGCGTAGTTATTAACTAAGTTAGTTCATTTGAATTGGCGCAAAAAAAAATCAATGATCGACGCGCCCCTGTACTCTTATCATTGACTAGTGCGTCGATCATTGACTAGTGCGTAGGAGGAAATTGCATTTGTATAGAGGAAAATTAAATCCTGTATAGTTTAGAAACCTATTTATTGACATTGATATATAATACCAAGGAATTTTTCATAACAGTGCTGACACTATTTCTATAAGATCATATACAGTGATGTTCGTTATTTCTACTAGCTAAAAAATGGATGAAGCCTATACATTGAGGAGCGGTGAAAAACAGGACGAAATGAAAACCATCGAAAATACACATAATGGCATTTTTTTAACCCAGCTGATCCTTTGAGGACTACAGTGTATGCTTAATTATAACATTGTAAATCAGTTTAGTGGAAGATTTGAACAGAAATGCCTAATTGTTTTGTATCAAAATGTGGAATGAACAATGCGTCTTTTCACCGACAATCGAAAGAAAATAATGTCCCTAAACGTCATATCTACGTAAATGTGTTACTCTTAGTCACACGGCTTAGTACAAGTCATTAAACACATAACTAATGATAACTTACTCGGTGTTTATTCATAAACAGATACGGAGTGCGCATAGCATTGGTCAATGTAGCATTTCGATTTGCTTCTTTTATCTCTTACAAATATTAACACAAGCATGTTATTCTTGTTTACAAATCAACCGAGTCATTTCATCGGTTTCTAACCCATTTGTTAAGTGTTATTTCTTATAACACAATACCGCGAGCTTGAATGAACGCTGCTGGGGGCACATAGAGCTTGAGGGAATGTGGTTACCCGATCTCAAAGTTGAAACTGTTATGATGGCAACCATTCTTTCTGAACTGTACCAGAATCGACACCCTTGATTTTCGTTCTCTTGTCTGGGTATGTGACTTCCCGATTAAACCCTGTCATTTTCTTGATCAACGTCAACGCTGACACACATATCACCACACGAACAGCGTCGGTAGACTTTGCCCGGCCTTGGTAGACACGAATAGGAGCAAAGAGGTGCAGGGAGTTAGGCAGCCTTCGCCTTTCATCACTAACCAGGAGGTCAATTAGGAATGAATGATTCCGATCGAAATGGAGTTTATATGAGCTCGGAAAAATCGAATTTCTGAGAAATATGTCGAGCGGTAGACACAGTCACGGCCACCGTGACAGTCACAGTCAAAACAGCAGATCTGCCGTTTCCGCGCCACCGCTGTCAGCTCGAAGCCGTGCAATGCAGTCCTTTGTGAGAGTTAAATATGGAGGTGAGTAGCTTTAAACATATTTTATAACTATAAAATTGTTAAATCAGGGATATCAAAGTAATCCATTCAGAGGTTATAAGCAGTGAAGTACTATCCAACACAATTCGACAACTTTTCTGACTATGGGAGATATATTTGAGGACATTAAATCGAACACATTTATGTCTGATAGAGGGATATATTCTGGACAAACGGAAAAGGAAAGTAGCTAACCTACAGCTGAAATGAACAATTCTTCTGCGCACTTTTTTGCACTAAGTTGACATTCAGTTTCTGAAGTTGAAAAATAACTGCAAATCACCCAAGCCTCTCACTTTGAATGGTTTGTTTTGTGATCACCTGGGCAACGAGCGCATTAAAGTGTATATTACGCGCTCAGTCGTGTTCATCTGGTAACCCTACCCCACTGTAGCTTTGACAACTTATAGCGACACTAAATCGTACAGCTGTGTCCAAATTAAGGTTACAAAACACATCTGTGTAAATCTCATTCCTTTATCGTTAATTTTAGTTAACGATGAGAAAATTTAGTTCATGTCCAGTCGGCGTATGATAAAAGGATACTTTATCGCTGTCTACTTTTGTGATTAGCGTGTTATTTCTGATTTACCATGTCTACATTTTCTAAGCTCTATGTTTCAGATAACAAGGAAGCTCTCTTTAACCCATGGTGCACGATAATTTGTCTTTTAGACTCTATACGGAAGATATGCAAATGTGATAAAGAAAGTAAGTGAACTTTATAAACACAGGCACAGTTGCACCCACCCCTCTCCCCACAGATTTTTGAAAAGTGTTTGCCTCTTTCTTTCTCTCAGTCTGAAGAGTCAGAAGTCTCGTAGTTTCTTTCCCTTCGGCCAGCGCGCTCTCAAGTTTTCTTCAGTCGGCGTTTCCATGTAGATTAATACCACAGGCGGCTCAAACACCTGCTAGCAAATACAAGAGTAACAAACGTGTTTTAGACGTCAACCCCCCCACCCCCACCCCACCCCACCCCCACTACCACCATTCTCAGCCATACGGTACCGGCCTGGCTTAAGATGTGATTGCTTTTATTATAAAGAAAACACTGCTTAGCTGAATGATGGCACTTGAATCTTCAATACTGAGAAGAATGTGCGATGTCAGAAATCCTGCATTTTGCCAAGAAATAACGGCACTACCACTGTAAAGCACATTATATATACGAGAATAATGAGCAAGTATCACTGAAGTATAATGATAAAACTGCTGATAATGTTGGGTTTCCAGTGACGTATAAAACTAGTTTGCGGTTCTTTATTTAAAATTCCGATGTCGGGTTACATAACAAGGAATATATCCCAGAGCTCACCTCACCCAAAGTCCATAATTTTATAATATTTTACAGTGTACAAACGTATAGCCTACTATACACCAAGATATACTGGTCTTTCTACTACATGTATTTGTCATCCCGATTATGATAACAGGAATACAGGCGCCTTGCGTTGATAAATCCAAGCAGATTCAAAATAGAGAACATATAAAACATCGCGGATAGAAAGATACATGTCCCTGATTTCATTTTATAAAGACAAAAAACATACTGACAGAAGTGATTTGTCCGCAGAAGGGAATGCATATTATAAGTAAGAGATAATGATTTTATATGAGTTGGATAGCTTAACTGCAAAAAGTTGGTTCCAGTACCCTGTAGATATGTGAAAGCAAATTTTTCTCCCCTCTTTTCGTGTGTTAACTTCCTTCTTAATAACGTTAAAATAAATATTTTATAAATGTTCAATTCAATTTATTTTTCAGTTGTTATTGACCTTGTGGACATGCAGGGTCATGTGACGAATCTTGGTGCCAAACTGAGGGAGTACGCTTGTGATTCCCTGCAAACGAGGGAAATTTATGTCTTAATCAAAATAGAAAGTAAGTCGGTTACAAACTGCCGTCTGTCGCAACAAACTGTTCTGTCTGTGCCCTACCAATTAACTACAGTATTAACTAAATTTAAATAGATTTTGGCAATATTAAACTGAAAACTTTCTTAAGTCAATGCGAATTTAAAGTTTTATCATATGTTCGGTTAAAAAAAAGTTATATTTCCATATTGCTTTCAGAGCAAGCGGGCAATTTACCGAACAAGTATACGCCTCTACTACAAAATTTGGATAAATCAAATCCTGAGCTACATTGTAAGTATGGGGCCTATGAAATATAAAATTGTTTAAAATCAACAAAATTAAATTTTAAGTGATAAAAGGTGTGTTTGCGTGCATGTCAATGTTTGTTGTTACCGAAAATAAAATTAACTACTGTTGCCCTGATCAGTTTGTCATTTGAATGCCAGTTTGTGTGTACACAAAGTGAACCTCGCATTTGTAAGGAAACCCTGACGTCATGAATACAATTTTCTGTACAATAAATGTTTCCAATTTTGTGATTTACAACACTGAAATACACTTCCAATTAAACAACAAAATAAATGCAGGGGCTTTGAGGTCAACCTTGAAATGAACCCCGACCTGAGCTATTGTTGTTAGGCAGTTACCACACACGTGTCAAAGGTACATGATATTCACAATATTGCACCTGCAACTCAAAAGTCGTATTAAGAATATTTTCAAAAGTGGTTTATTGGCATCTTTCTCCAGTTAAACAGCTAACAGGATGTTTTGTGCTGGAAATGCAATGAAGAATAAAACGAGAACTTATAGCATATGTACGACTAGTCTTTGTTTCAAACTTGAAACAAATAACCCGCTACTTTCCCCAAGGTAGCGCATACCCTGAAGGAAACAACATAAGTAGGCCTAGGTTTATATCTGCCACGAGCCCTTGTCCGTCCACTGCAAGAAAAATATTAATCCTTCAATCATTATATCATAGTTTTCATCATTATTTCAGATAAACTTTTGCATATGTCAAGACCTGCCAGCAAATCCAAAGGGAAATGGGGGAATCTTGGTAAAAAGGGACTCAAACAAATTGCCAGTAAATCCTCTTCACACTCAGGAAGAGACAGCCCTAGAACTAAAACTGGGAATGATGATGACAGAAAAACGAGATCACTTTTATCAAGGATGGGAATGCTGAAAGCAGGTGGTGATTGACAAGTGAAATTTCACACAGAACGAAAGAGATTGGAAGCTTTTGGATACTTATCCCCAAAAACACTCATAGAGATAGAACGAGGGTGTTAAACGACAAGGGATTCCTTTTCGAGACAAATTGCAAATCGCAATAACAAGTTCTTCCTTTTCTGTATGCAGACTGACTACAGGCAGGACTTGATGATAATAATAATTGATGATGATGATGATGATCAAGTCTTTTTTGATACACCTCTTATAAGTTACAGAATGTCAAAATTTATTTAGAGCAGATGATAAAATAATTTGTCAATGACGATAAAAAGGACACAAGCTATCATTGAGCAGCATTACTAAATAAAATGATGTTATTTTAAATACTCATACTTTAAATATATTATCAAAATTATATTTTCAGTAAAGTTTTGAAAAACTCAATACTTTTGCAGGTCTTATTATTAGCATCAAATAAAAATTTTGGAGAGTATTTCCCAAACACACAACCAGCATAAAATACACTTAAACTCCTATTGGCATATGAATACTGCAATATTACCCAATTTTTCTGTTTGTACTTGAAGCATTATTACAAACTACGAGTTACTTATTCTCCACCAGGGGTCTTTCTCAGACCTCTCTAACCATTACAAAATTTGATGAAAGACCCCTGTTAGATTTGAGATGATCAAGTTCATTCACTATACTTTGTGCAATGCATTTGACACATTGAAAATCTTTAAAGATAACAGAACCCTTTTCTGAAACTACTGAATTATTCTTCTAAGTTTGACAATAATAAGAAACAGTTTTACTTTATACTCCTCACTTGAAAATATTAAATAGTGAAAAATGAAGAATGCACCAAAAATAATAATAATAATAATAAAAACTACACAACTTTGAGAAAAATAATCTACTTGGCAAAGATCACTCCAGCAAGTTTGAGACTAACAAGTCACACAGTTTTCCATATATTGCATTAACAGTGAAGTGCATGGCAATGATGCAGGTGATGGCTACATCACTTGTCTATACATAAAAACATTTGAAAAAATCAAATGTCCAATTGCACATTTTTATTTTAACAACGATGTCCCAATTGTACAGTAACATCCTAGATATTTCTGTGCATGCACTTATATATTTCATAAAAATAGCAGATTGCAGTGTGGGAAAGCAAATATATGAAACACATGAATGAAAATCACAATGGTTATGTATAGGCTGAAGTTTACAAACTTGCTTCAATACCGTGTACTGGGAATGTCAAAAACTGTTCATGAGAGTATGAACGTAACACAAAGAAGACACTTTCTAATGCCACCCGATCATGTAGTACAGCTTTTTGGGTGTGCCTCAGATCTTAAGGGTTGTTATTTCTGACCATCTATATCAATCTTGAGCCTTAAAAAAATCTACACAACATATTTAGAAAACTCAAATGCACCAACATTGCATAAAATGAGCAAAATTAGATAGATCAGTTAATTGCCATCCAATCTTCCGTTGGTCATTAATTGTACACTTGGACTAGTAAGACATAATACAACAAGAAACTGATTCTTTTCAAGGAAACAAATATTCCTTCTCAAGGCATGTTAAATATTAGCTGTCACTAAGATTCTGCAACATCTTGAATCCTCTGCTTGAAGCCTTCTTTCTGGGTATGGACATCTGGGACTTGGCCATTGTGATCTTCGTATCTGGAAGACAGGGTTAAGTAAAGGAAGTTTAACATAAATGGTCAAAGAGCCTGGGGATTCAGAACAGTGGACTAACAGATCTATAGATCAAATATGGCCAATCCCACTTGAATGCTTGTTGTGTAATCCCTGTGGGAGATCTATTCAGTGTCTAATCGGGAATTAAGTGGTAAGCTTTTTAGTGGGTGGCCATATTTGAACCACGAATCTGTTTGTCTGCTGTTCTGAATGCACACTAACACCCCATTTCCAGAGATTAGATCGATCTACTTTAGATCGACCTAACTCCCTGGGGGTTCACGCTAAATAGCTGTCAGCTGAGCATACACGAAAGTTAATTACCCCCTTGTAGTAGGCGGGACGGACATTTAAGCCGGATTACCTGACAGTAATCTAGTGAGACTCCCCGCGGGGATAGATCGATCTAAAAGCTCTGGGAATACAGCCAAAGACTACACACTGTGCACTCTTGAGAAAAAGGCCAACTTATAAAGATGCTTATGTTAACTTTTTTATCCATTCAATATATCTGGTAACCAAAAATAAATTTAATATATTTTCAAAATATGACTCACACAAAAAAGAATCTTGTGCAAACATGATCTGGATTAGGGCAAACCCAGATGGGACCATGCTTCTTCAAATGTTCACTGGTGACAACCTCACACAGAGCGATACATGAAAGCCTGTTTGAGTGACTTAGGAACTTCTGTCCAGATACACTGCTTTGGGAACTAGTCTAAAATTTGTAATCAATGATTAGTATTAGTCAATATGAAAGAATTTGTTCTGAATTAAAACTGTTATACAGTAGTTAAACAATGATTGTGACAAAATTTGAGGAAAAGTACTGCAAGAGACCAGAACTAACATATGTTTGGAGTCAATATTTCACAGATATACCTGTTTATTCTATGATATTATCTAATCATACATTTTTAAGTCATTCTTTATTACATCAATTCCTCCTTTCTTCTCTGAATGTTGATATAAAGAAACAGAACATATGAAAAACAACATATTACCTCTTTTGTGGAAGTGGTTTTCCCAACAGGGGTTTGTTCTTTCTTAGTGGACTNGAAGTGGTAACGGTGACTTGTTTCCGGCGCCCGACTGCGGAGCCGCAGGAGCTGGCGGAGCCGCAGGAGCCAACGGAGCCGGCGGAGCTGTACGAGACGGGTTGGGACTAAAACCATGAGTACCGCCAGCGTATACGCTGGTGGTACTAACTATGAATGGTACACTGTATGCATGCATTTAAAAACTTTTACATATCTGAATAGGGACAATAAAAATAAAACATACCCCTCAAGTAACTGACCTAGATATATCCTTACTACACAAGAAGTCATGGCTAGTCATTTAGAACTCAGTCATTATATTAAAAATGGGATAAAACATGGCTGTGCAATGCTTCCTGTCAGTCTGACCTGTATTGAATTTGGGCCAACTTCCAAATACCTATTACCTATTAGTGGCAGGAAAAATCTGGAAATCCTCCAAGTGCACATTTTTTTAAAATACTTACTTTGAAGTCCAACATAATATTTCAACTTTTCACCTTACTAGATCAGTTTTCAAATTCATTTTCCTGGCCTTTCTGTTCTCCCATGTAGTTGATGTCATATTTCAATGTCTTTTGTACTACATTTACATCAGGCACACTAGACAACAACAACAACAACAACAACAACAATAATGTTGATGGTTATAATTACAATAAAATATCCTTCGACATAAAGAATTCCTTTTAATTTTCAAAAATTATTAAACTCTGGTGATATCAAAGATGGTAATATTAAATAGTTTCAGCGAAGAGTAAAAACCTCTTTAAACTTTAAGGTTTTACTACCTGAAGCTTGGTCCCTGATGCGTTGACTAGCCCTTTCCTTATGATTGAATGCCAGTTTTCAATGCAAGACCCACTGTAAGGAAAGCAATTCTCAAAATTGTCACAAAATTTATATAAACTATCTAGTTAAAATCAATGCAAATGTTTCATGTGATAAGTAGAGTTGAATCCCTTAAAGAAGTAAACTTTTCCCTGTAACATACTAACAATTTGCCTACAATTTGCTACAATGCAATATTTCCCACTTTATAAATTAACTAGGCTATAATACTTACTGAAATGCAAATGTGCTTCCATATTTTGATTTTGCTGCTCGGAATTTGGCTTCTTTTGCTGGTGGACTGCTCAGCAGAAGAAACTGGTGAGGTGTGTTCATGAAGTGAAGTTGCTGAAATAAAATTTGAAAAGTTGAAGTCAATTGCTTTTTTTATTTCATTATTTTAGCAGTAAACTTTTCATTCACTGTCACTTATCATCCTTATTCATTCTGATTCCTTAACTGAGCAAAATATCTCACCTTTGAAGTGTGTAGCTTGACAATATGACACCTATTACTGGATATTACCCTGCAGATAAACAGCATAAGCAGTATTTTAGATTATATTTGTAAATGAATTGCATTAACTTATCTTTAGTTATTAGTGGAAAAAAGCAGCTGTCTACATGATTCCTAACATAATCTAGTAACCTATGTGAAAAAAAGACTTGCTTATATGGTTTTCATTAAAATATACTTAAATCACAACCATAACATAAACACTTGACGCTTCAACCAAGCATGTTAAACTGTGATGCTAATATTATGAGATACTTGCTTTCACAATAACATGTTCACTTTTAGACCCCGTTCCCATACCTATTCAGCTTAAGCGGTTCTAATGCCTGGCATGCCTACTGAAGCTGTTAGGGGGCACTTAACTATTGTTTAGTAGCTTCAGTAGGCATGCCAGACACCTAAACCGCTTAAGCTGAATGCAATTTAGCGAGAATCCCCTCAGAGATGGGTCGATTCTTCTAGATTGATCTAGGTATGGAAACGGGGTTTTAGACTCACCACTGTAAAAGAGGGTATGCCACAGGGTTAGCTTTATCTAATGACTGCTTTAACTCCACAGCAGACATCTGGGTCATGGTGGCCATATCAGGAATGCATTGAAAACAACTTATCACTGAGGAAAAATCTTTCTTCTGGAAACAGTAAAACACACCAACAGGCATCATTAGGTGTCACTTTATGAGAAAAAAAAATAGAAAACTGACGAAAAAAATGTCTGTTCAATGTAAAATGTCATTGAATGGCATTCTACACTGATGGGGAAGGAAAGTCAAATTTTAAAAAATGCAACTATATAAGTTTTTGCTGGGGAAATCTAAACTTACCTTTGGGTTAAATGCTAGTTCAGTTGGAATCTGTGGGTTTACAACGGTGGGATAAGGATCAAAAATCACATCTCTTCTTGGTGATAAACATGCTGACTTTGCCATGTTAATCATTAGATCAACAACCTGTATCAATTTATACAGAATCAAATGTTACTGTCAAGTCTAATTTTTATAAAAAATATATATTACTAGACAGCAAAGCTGGCAAACATTGACATTTAACATTTCTAACTCCATTAAACACAAATATGCATATTCCAGTATAACTGATGTTGTTTCCATTTTGTCAATGTTTACAGTGATCAACATCACATAGAAAATGCATACATGCCTTCTTAATTTTGCAAAACTTTTTAAGGTTATAAAAAACAAGAGTGGAAACACACCTCTTCATCTGAATATAACAAATAAAATGACACAGTGACAGTGTTTTACATACCTCAGCTGCAGATGCTATTTCTTCTGCAGCATAATGCATGACTCCTAGTGTTTGATATGCAAAAACACACAGTTCTCTAGAACAAACTGCAGGCTAAAAAGATAATAGTAGCATATTTGAGGCTCAAATGTATGAACTGGGGGTAAACTTATATTCATCAATAATAAATTCAAATCCTAGATGGAAAACATTTCTAAGATGTTGGATAAATAATCATCTATCTATCTCTGAGCTGACTATAAAGCAGTTGGAACGAACTAGCCTTCATCATGAAGCACATACAATCCTACCTTCAGCATACCACCATTTTGAAATTCATGAGGTTCATCACAGACAACACAGAATTCATTCATAGTTGGCACCCTCTGTTGGGCATAACGCATCATCTAAAAAAAAAGGAAATAGTAAATAAGGTCACAAAGTAGACAGCAAAGCTTGCAAATATACACACACCAAACTGAAAAAAAATGAGATAGATAGATCACAGTTAGCACAATAGGGTCTGGGAATGGTCCCTATGTTTTTAATCAGTCCTATTCACAACAGCTTATTCATAAGAGAAGAAAATTAGTAGAAAAAAAACTCAGTTAACAAATCAAAAATGACTACATTACCTGCACCAGCCAACCATATTCAAGTCCAGGTAAAACTTTATGTGCCTGGTTACAATGGTCAGCAATGGGACCTTCAGAGGCACTTGAAGATGTTTTACAGGTATTTTCTTCAACCGCCGTCATTTTTGAAGGTTTTCTGCCTTTACTTGATGCAGAGCCTCTGTTGAGCAACTTTTTCAATCTTGAGCCCGAGTCTGTTTTTGGCACTGTATCCTGGGGCACCTCCTGTCTATGTGTTACACCTTCACTGTTAAAAATAGAACATAGCTGTATGTTCCCACCAGTCAAGCTTTTTTCAAGGACTTAATTACATGAGATAAGTAAAGAACACTTCACAAGGACTTCGCCATTCCATTCAAATGAATTAAAATTTGTCCAACACATTGATATCTATAATCTGAAAATATAATGATAATAATTCATTCAACCACTGATAACTTTTAATTTTCTACTACAGCTAACATATGCATTGTGAAAATTTAACTAGCAAAGGGCTACAGGCCCGTGAGTTCAAAGTGACACATCAAATATAACATGTGAAAAATGGATAATTCACAAAAAAGAAAACCAATGTAACCCAATCAGTCTAGTTTTTTTTTTTTTTTTTTTTAACTCAAGCTGTATTTTAGTCCTCAAAGTCACTGAAGGTAATAATGGCGACAGTAACAACAACAAATACAAATCCAGGTGTTGGTATGCTGAGTCTGTATTCTACATCAGTATATCCAAATAAAGTCATGCACACTGACCTGGCATTATCATCTCCACACAACAGGGCTACTGCTTCCTGTTCATTTCCCCTGGCCTCCAGCAGTGCCTCCCTACTCCGCTCCAAGTCAAAGCCCATGCCCACCAGTCTGGCAAGAGTGGCATCGTCTACCAGCTTCAGAGGGCTCTCACTGAATGAAAATACTTGCAAGAATAAAACATTTTATGTGCTTTTCACTAAATGTGTTAGCAGTTAGATGAAATACATTTCTCCAGGCTTGGTCAAAACACTTATATATACATGTGCATGTATGTATTTTATTTTTATCCCTGTTCTTTTGTGACAAAAGTCAGGGTTCATATTATTCTGCCAGTCCATCAACCTGCCAGTTCCTACATTTGTAACTTCCATTTTCCCTATCTTAGTCTTTAGAGTAAAAAAAGTTGACACTTAGGGGATTGATAGACTTAACATCAGGGATTGCATGGGCCTTTTAAAATTTTGGTGCCTGAGCTTTGGACTGTCCCTGGGGACAAATGATTTAATTTCTTTTTTTACATTCTAATTTCTGATATCTCCATTCTAGACCAATAGAGTGAGGGGACTCAAAACTTTAGGGATTGATGGACCCATCATCAGGGACGTAATTGGTTATTTAAAGAAATTTAGTGCACTTTTTTCTGCTAGTAATTTGTCACTTTACCTAGGTGACTTTGTCTTCCTTGCTTCATCCTTGCTCTCAAGGCCAGGCACAGGGAATAAATGCTGACTAGCAACATATGCATTGCTTAATTCTTTCCACTGCCGGGATATAAAGGATTCTAGAATTCTGTGGAATAAGTTACAGGTTAAAATTACAGTGTATGTTATGCAGTTGTATTCAAGAGATGTTAACTTAATACAATCACTGCAGTGCTCATGGGCAAGCTATTTCTGACAGTTTACTATATAAACACGATTTTTAAAGCATATTAGTTAGCACATTCAATGTTGTAAGAAAATGGCTCACTTTTTCAGCTGGCTGCCAATGCCAAATTTTTCCTTTCTAGAGGGTTGGAAAACTTCAATCATGGGTTCTAAAACAATGTTCAATGGTATTAGATTAAATGAGTTAACAGGGTGATATACAGATAAACCAGCTTTTGTAATTAAAGGGATAATAACTCTTCGTATGAGGTCTATATTTCACAATAAAAACACTGTGAATAACTCAAAGAAATATAATATATTCTGTTTTACGACAAAAACAGCAGTTAAAGCTATTATTCTGATATCTGAGCTTGTCTTCAGACCACGTGACCTCCATTGATGGCTATACTCTGTTATAATCTCTTAAGAGATTTTAACAAAAAACCAAACTTTTTAGAAAAAAACCAGGGACTAACTTTGAATGTAAAAATGGATTCATTAACCATTGGTAAGTACGGGAAAATTGTTTTTGAACCCAGGAAAATTCATTTTTTGGCCAAAACGAAGAGTTATTATCCCTTAAAGCATAAATTACATTTCTCATCAATACCTTTGATAAAGTTGTCATTTTCTTATTCCTAGAAAGATATCATACTAACACTGAGCCAGAAATATTTCCTTATTCCAATTTATCACCCAATCATGTTTTGAGTGAAACTTGTGTACTCTGGATGACCAAAAAAAAAAGACAAAATTTGTTGACTTTGTCATCATCAAACCTGACCTGCTTCATCCAGATATGCTGACATACTTAAGTGCAACCGTACTATTAAAGGCTCTTCTCTGTTGACACACCATGCTTTAGCTTGTTCTTCCTTTAAAAAAACATGTATAAAACCAGGTTATGAATATTCTTTTGCTTCATATTTTGTTGGTAATTTAGTCTAATGACTGTTTAATATTTTGCTTAACAAAGTCATTTATCATTCCTACAACAGAAATATTTTTTTTATCAGAAACACTCTTGATAAAGTCTATATTTTTTACATTTTCAGTACTTTTTAAAATTTCAAACCCTGAATTTACTCACATACAAAAACTGCATACTGATTTTCAATGCGACATCAAGGTTATCTAGAGCTGCAAGCAACCTTAAAAAAAAAAAAATTAATGCATATCATCTCCTTAAAAGGTTAAAGTTGTAAACACAATAAACTCAGTTCATTCTTTATAAATTATTATCATAGGTAGCAGTTCATGACTAATATTGAATGGATTCAGTTTTAAATAGCAAAAAAAATTATAATGGAATTAGTTCAAACCTATAAAAAAAACTGACCTTATACTAAATGACTGCTCTCCATAAATTTTCTTGAGCATGTCCAAATCATGGGTGAGAACTTTATTTTGCTCTCGTATTCCTGTGCCCTAAAACAATTTAAAGTCATTTCAATTAAACAAAATAAAAGCCAAACAAATGTAGATATTTAGAGGCAGCACTTATTTTAAAACAAGGCAGCAAAGCTGTCAAATGTACAGACAAAAAGCAGAAAATAATGATGCACAACTTTGATGCAATAAAAAAAAATTATGAATGTTAAATAACAAAATCAACACACACACACACACACACGGGCTTATGGACAGTGCATTATTTAGTCTAATTTGTTTAACTTCAAAATTAAACCCTATTAAAACAACACATTAAGAACAAGAGTAGCATCACCTCATCTCCATCACTATTAACAGTATAATAGTTGTCAAAATCATGTTCCTCTTCACTGTATAAATTTGGATCATCATCACTGTCAGTACATTCTTCTGTATCACTGTTGTTTTCAACCCTGTATGCAGTTTTATCAAAGTCATCTCTACTGCATACTTCATCCATTCTTCTGTGCTTTTCTTAGTTATCTTTTGTTTATTGTTCACTCTTTGTTTGTTGCAATATGCCTGTTGACTTTAAACCATAAGCCTTTGTTTAAGTTATGTTGGGGTGTATGCAAACATCATTTCATCACCATTGCCATCCAACATGGTCCAGGTATCATCTCATCATCAGTGTAGTTTCAGTAGAAAAAGTCTCTAGAAGTAGAGGAAATGGTATTATCATGCCTGTTTACATGATAATACCATTTCCTCTACTTCTAGAGGAAATGGTATTATCATGCCTGTTTACATGGCAAGTCNAACAAAATCAACACACACACACACACACACGGGCTTATGGACAGTGCATTATTTAGTCTAATTTGTTTAACTTCAAAATTAAACCCTATTAAAACAACACATTAAGAACAAGAGTAGCATCACCTCATCTCCATCACTATTGACAGTATAATAGTTGTCAAAATCATGTTCCTCTTCACTGTATAAATTTGGATCATCATCACTGTCAGTACATTCTTCTGTATCACTGTTGTTTTCCACCCTGTATGCAGTTTTATCAAAGTCATCTCTACTGCATACTTCATCCATTCTTCTGTGCTTTTCTTAGTTATCTTTTGTTTATTGTTCACTCTTTGTTTGTTGCAATATGCCTGTTGACTTTAAACCATAAGCCTTTGTTTAAGTTATGTTGGGGTGTATGCAAACATCATCATTTCATCACCATTGCCATCCAACATGGTATAGGTATCATCTCATCATCAGTGTAGTTTCAGTAGAAAAAGTCTCTAGAAGTAGAGGAAATGGTATTATCATGCCTGTTTACATGGCAAGTCTAAGGCTGTATTCCCAGAGCTTTTAGATCGATCTATCCCAGCAGGGAGTCTCACTAGATTACTGTCAGATAATCTGGCTTAAATGTTCATCCCGCCTACTACAAGCTGTAAGGGGGTAGTTAACTTTCGTGTCCGCTCGGCTGACAGCTATTTAGCGTGAACCCCCAGGGAGTTAGGTCGATCTAAAGTAGATCCATCTAATCTCTGGAAATGGGGTCTAAGTCACAATCACATCATGCAAATAATCTCTTCTTTAAAAAATTACAGTACTATAGCTCATGGCCAGACAGCTCTCAGTTGAAGACTCATGAACAGTTGTCGATCTACCACATGTCGATCTTTTGTTTTCCACATCCGACCCATTAGTGAGATAAGTGAGATAACCATGCACTTGTAATCAGATTCAATGTGTACCGGTTACATAATACTGTATACTGCCTTACTGGACATGTGACATACTAGTATCTACTTCTGTGGTTGTCGTTAGTAACTTAAACATTCCCAAAATTCACGTTTTATTGTCAGCACTTACTAAACTAAACCCTCTCAAGGTGGCCACAACAAGGAAGTAAGGCAAGAATGTGAATGTGCGTTCACTCATAATATAAATACATCCTTGTTTGTGACAACGTCTGTAACGTTACAAGCGTTCCACCAGTTGGCTTCTCGTCACTCACTGCTGTGAAACTCATGATGACGTTATATTTTGTGAATAAAAACTATAGGTTGAGTTCTTTCACACCGGTTTGTTCTTTTGCGATTAAAAAAATTAAAGAGAAAGCATTTTTTTCGTTTCGCATCCGGTGTTGGTGGCGACATCTCTGCTGCTGCTGTAAACTTCCGGCAAATCAGCTCGACCGGAAGTGCTATGTCGAAAAGCTGCGAAAGTAGTGTTCAAAGCAGTGACCTGCATAGCAGCTAGTTAAAGTCTTCTTCAAGCAATGTTGGGTATGTCAAAGCAGCTAGTAGAAGTATTTTGCAGACTTACTGCACCGCAGTGGTAGGTGGTGCACTGCAGTGGTAGGGTTGTGAAACTGAGACTCAAGGTTTTGGCGCAGATTTTTGCTTGCACTTGCAGATTTCCTTCCACGGCTCAAGTGCACAGTGGTGCACCACTGAAGTGAAGTAAAGGCTTTTTAAAGCTAAAATGCGGTCTTGCATTAAGTGATTATCTGATTTCGAAAAGAACACATCAGTTGTCCAGACATTTACCTTTTAGTTGCAACAAGTTTTCTCTTTTTCTTCTTGGCTACTACCAAATAATTTCAATGAAGAAGCAAAAGATATAAGAGTACGTGCAATATATCCATGCTCATAACAGCTCACCTTTATAATTTATCAAAAATGATGTACAGCATTACTGCAGCATCCTGTGTGTGGGGGGGAGGGCATTTTTTACAATAAACTAAAAGTGACTTCATCCAAAAACACGGAAGATCTGATCAAGTCAGGGGTTCTATTGGCCTTCTTGATTTTCCTTGTGTATAAACATGTACCAGTATATATACACACAGAAAATCAAGATCTGTTTTCAGTTCATTGTCAGCTTCTACACCTAGGTCTACAATCATAGTACTTAATTTGGTAGTTCCCATTGAGTATTCAAATTTAGCATTATTTCTTCTCAGGTGCATAACCTTACATGTCCCTGCACTAAAAGTAATTTGGTAGTCTAATGACTATTTACAGTACAGAATGTACTTGGTCTGTTTACCTGGAAATATTGGGGATCTAGATTATTGTTAAACACCAAATTTTGGGCATCTACAGCAAAGAATGCAGTGTTGTTGCAAACAATTTCTGGCCTGTCTTTTATATAATTCTGAATTTTAAAACCTTTCTGTAAATGCCAGAGCTTGAAAGTGACATTTTTTTCAAGAATTGATGAGGGGAATAAAGATGCATTAACAACATGGCTGGCTACTGTACAAGTAGAGTCACTGTTTCCTCAGATAATTTATGTTTTACTTATAATTACATGAGAAAATCCAATATGGTTCCATTTTATCCTGTTTATGTTGCAGACTGAAATATGGAAGAGCAACCAGAAGTTCAAGATCTCAAAAGAAAAATAGCAGATTTAGATTCAGAACTTAAATCAACTCAAAAGAAACTGGAGAAAGCCTTACACAAGTTGTCAAAAACAGAAAGGCGGAATGATAAAATTAACAGCTATAATGAAGACTTGCGAAAACAGGTTGAACAGTTGAGCAAAGAACTTCATGCATATAAATCATCTGGAAAAAAACGGAGTGATGCTTCAACACAAGTATCGGAGGCTTTATTGCAGGAATCAAGTATGTGATATATGTATTTTAATATTTTATTTATGGATTAAATAATTTGTCTGCGGTAAATCAAAATAAGCTCAAATCTTTTTCATTGTTTCCTCATTTACTCAAGATATGCAAGTGCAAGCTGTAATTTGATGGATATTCCTTTGAAGTCTTGGCTGCTTTATGTACTACTTCATTTTTTCTCACATTTCAGATGGTGAAATCGGACAATTTGAAGAATGGAGTGAACCTGTCAAAGATCCTGAAGTATGAAACCATTCTAACTTTTAATTTTCCAAATGCTTTGCTTCCAATAAAAATCACATCATATTACAGCATTACTTTTACTTATGGCTTTAAGCTTTTCAACTCTAGGATGTCATTTAAAAAAATAACACACTAACACTATATTTAAGTTTTCATATGTTAATCATCACTTTTATTAAGCAAGTATCAAATTGTTGTTTCGGTAGAGTGAGGAAGGTGTATCCCTGGCAGACAGTTTGAAGGCAACAGCGGAAGCTGCATTGCACCAATCTGGATATGTGTATGATGATAGCACAGGCCTATACTATGATTATAACACAGGCTATTACTATGATGCTGTAAGTATAGGTTGAGAAAGCAATATCATTATAAGGGGGTTCAATACATTGAGAATTTTTTCTTTATCAGCGTAGATAATGTTGAAATTGTCAAGTTATAACATAAAGCTTGACTTCTGGTTATTCTGCTGAAAGTATTAGATATGAACATCAGCACTATATTAGTCTCATGTACCTTATGTGTGTTAAAATTTTTCATTGAATATTTGATATTTGCTGTTCTTAGTCTATAGTTATTTACCTCATGTGCTTACTAGTAAAAGGTTACAGTCTTGTATATCTTTTTCCATGGCATTTGTTTTAACACTTAAAAAGAACACTACTTAACAATTCACATGAAGACAGTATGGAGACAAAAAAAAACTGAATGTTTCTTTTCTGTCACCTTCTAGGAGAAGTCTCTCTATTATGATCCAAACACAGGAATCTATTACTATTATGACGCTGGCACAGAGAGCTATGTATTTCACTCCCAGGCAGATTTAAGTTATTACCAAACAGCACAAGCAGGTACCGAAGACTTCCAAATGTATGATGCTGACACAGAACACAGAAGTCATAGAAAACACAATAGGCATAAAGACAAGGAGGTAAGCTTAACTTCTCCACTTAACACTAAATTTGACCAAATTGTTTCCTGTAAAGTTTTATTGAAATCTCCTTTTTATTTACAGACTCGTATTTTCTCGAAATTCTGCAGTTTTTGTTTTGTGAATTTTTCATTTTTCACATTTTGGTATTTTCAGTGTGTCTATTTTGAACTCCCATGGGTCTGATGCCCTGTGCTAGTTACATTTTCTGAATGTGCAAAATTGAAAATTGGTGATGATTATGCCTTTAAACACTAAGTAATATTGCATCAAAATTGCCAAAAAGAAATATTTTTTGTTCTGAAACAGTACAGTAAATAATTTTGTAACTAGTAAGTTTTACACAATTATAGTACAAGAGTTCTTTAAGCATACTATTTCTAGGTATAAAATCTGGTTTAGTCTAAAATCCTAGTACTTGGTCTAGACTTTTAAAACATGTAAATATACTGTTTATTTTGTATCATTGAATTAATTGTTTCTGTAGCACTCTAAATAGCTTTTCATTGTGTGTTTTGATTTCAGTATTTGTGATACCATGTTTGCTTCTTCGGTAGAAATGAAGGCTGGTTAGATTTCCTTTAAAAAATGAATAGTTTGATATATCCATATTATTTTGGCTGGATATTAAAAGTTCCTTTTGGCTTCATCATCATTCAAAACAATCCCATTTTTTATAATTCCCTGTAGTAATTGTAAAGAAATGCCATGCTGAACAATGCTTCCTGCTCCTCTTGTTGTAGGATGAGGATGTATCTGCTGTCACGTCCAGTCTCTCCAGACTTCATCTCTGCCAGTTGACCTCTAATGTCTTAGGTAACAAATGATTTGTGTTTGTGTTGGTAAATGGAAGGGCTGAAAATCATCAGTGAATAATGCCTACAGTTGTACAGTTCTATAAGTAAAGCCTGTGACATGGCTTATCATGTGACACAAACACTGGCTACATAAATGGTAATTGTTGTTTTCTAATATGAGCCTTCGATTTGGGAGCACAAATGCCCAAATTAAAAACTCAGGCCACAAATTAACTTCTGCAACATATTATTACTTGCCACAAGCTTAGCAATTCATTACACAAATAATATTGTCAGCTTCCATCTGGGTCTCTGGCTGTATAAATAGGCCCCTACGGGTACTTTTTATACGGCAATCTCTAGCTCTTATGGAACATACCGAACTGGTGGATAAGCAGATAAATGGTTTGTGTAATGAAACGCTGTGCTTGTGACAATTTTACATTGGGGTACTTAATTCATGGTTGGAGACTTTAATTTGGGCATTTGTGCTCACAAATCTAACACTCGAGTAAGAAAACGCCTTATCTGTTTATAAGGTCTGAAACAGCACTTCTGCCAGTGAAATGATACGAAGGTTTGTTAACAGTACATATTGGCATTAAAAAAACATGATGATTTTCAACCTTTCCCTTTACAATTTAAGTTACAACCAAGCATTTATATCTACAAACATAATGTGTATTGTGCTTAGGAAATGAATAAGAGGAAAGAAGCTACTGGGCACTCAGAAATGAGGAAACACAAGTCTAAACACAGAAAACTAGATCAACCCATAGATAAGAAAAAGCAAACTACCAGTGATATTAAGGATAGCAGATTGAATGAAACCAAAGATATGGTTGATATCACAGAACCAACAATTTCCAAAAGCAATAGAACTTTATCTAAAAACAAGCGTAACAAAGGAAAAGAAAATTTGAAACAAGAGGAAGAGAATTCTCAGTCTAATAAAAACCAATGTGTTGACTTCGATAGAAGTGATAACTGCCACAGTAGTAATGAAGAAGATACTGAACTTGAGGATGGGGAACTGTCTTCTAGTTCATCTGACAATGACAGTGACAGCAGCAGTAACAGTGAGGCTGTCCTTGAAGAAGGTATGATGAGAAGAACTGGGTTTCTAGCAGACGGGTTTTTCTTCTTTATTCGAAGAAAGCATAGCCATAATAAATCCATTATTTAGACCGGTCAACCAATGATTTATATTTCTTATTATTACAAAACAGAAATGAAAATTGAATGGAATTTATTTGGCCTTCCTTCTAAATATTGTATATGTTCTTTAAAAGAACTGCTTTAGTTCCTCAGTCCACCATGTTTGTGCCATTCATTGATTTCAGAATCTACAAAGTGCACAATGTGAATTAAAATATCTTGTTAATAAATATTCCAGCTATGACAGCCAACTACCCTCCTTGTATACGTGTAATGGTGAAGGAGTCCAGCACTCTAGACGTAGGCACTCTCTATATCTTCACCTATCCTGGTGCTACTATTGGGAGAGAGAAGGACATGGGGCATGCCATACTCATTCCAGATTTACAGGTTAGCAAGGTAAGGGGAGATTTACTGAATAAACTATGGTTGGATTTCATATATTAAATTATTATATGGTGAGAGTGTGTGTGCATGTGTGTGTGTGTGTGCGCAAGTGAATAAAAGCAAGTAAACGATATAGCTGATTGACATGAATCCCTCCTTTACTGTCACACATCAGATGTGCTCAGAATAATTACAAGATGTTTTTATCCTGTTATAAAAATCAACAGTCTATTTGGTATACACGTCTGACTTGTTTGGCAAGTTCTTTTTTTTTTCTTTTTATTTTGATTAAGAGAGGAACATGCCAAATTTCCATCATCATTCATTTCCCTTCAAATGCTAACAGTAAAGCCCATACTTGTAGTTAGAAAGTTTATTTTCCCTGTGGAAGATAATGCTTCAACATTGTAGGTGTGGGTGTACCTTTTAGGTTGTCACACTGCAGTAATGTGTCTGTTAACATCAATTAATAGTATTTATGATGCTCTGATGATATAGACTATAGGTAGCTGTGATACCCCTTACCCAAGGCTGGAAGAAGGAAGATTGACTGCTATTTTCACTAATTTAACATTAAAATCTGGAATTCTTATTTCTAATGTTAAAACATGATTTTGATACTGCAATAGATCTCTGCTATCCTATGGGTACCCAGAATTTTCAAGTCAATGTAGGTAGCATCTTCGTTTTTTATTTATCACTCATGCCTACTTATTCTATAAGCATGTGGAGATTCATTAATGAAGAGACTGGCAGAATTGTCTGCTTTGGATAGCTAACCATGGCATCATCTTGGTTTCTTCAAATTTTCCATCAGCAGTTACAAACCTTTATTTCATTTTCTAGTCTTTGTCAAACGGCATATGCTCTGTTTACTTATGACTTTTTTTGTCTTTTAAGACAAAAATAATACTTAAAATTATCTTAATGGAGACAGATATACATCATCTGGCTTTACATATTGCACTGACTATAGCACAGAGAAAAAATAAATTTTCTCTTTTAGAATGAGAGTTTTGAGAACTCCCCTATTTGAAACAGGTTGTTGTTTGTGTCTGACAGTGACACATGTGGTGTGTCAGATCATCATCTGGAGATTGGAGCTGGATTAGAATGACAACATTATTTCATTGCTGTTTATGCAACCAGTTAAAAAACATCACAGTCACTATCATTTTTTATTTTTATTTTTTTTATTTTATTTATTTTTTTTGTCATTGATATGTAATATATGTTATGTAATCTTACCCTGATTACACAAGTGCAATTTTAAGAGTAAATACGTTTTTGAAACATTTACCACTGTTAGATTTGACTGGGGGGCATGAATGCCAGCAATTAAAATATAACCAGCCTTTATGTAACATTTTCTACTTTTATCGCTTAAAGGCAATTCTTATGGTGTTTTTTACAGTAGAAATTAAAGTTTCACTTTTTTTATTGAAGATGCATGCTGAGGTAAAGTATGATGACAGTTCCCAAGTTTATACAATCCAGGACTATGCCAGTCAAAATGGGACATTTCTCAATGGACAGAGGTTATCTGAGGTGAGAGTCACTTACACATGTGAAAGAATGTAGAACATCCATTATGAGTACCTAAGTACCTGTGCGTTTTCATTATTCTACAAGGATGACTCCCTAAAAGCCCCATGTAAACCACATACATTTAGAAAGATATTTAATGAGCTTTTTTTCTTTTTATCAGCAGGGAATAGAGTGGTTTTAAAATGTTTTACATGATAAGAAGTGTAAGTAATGGACTGGTAGAAATAGACAATTTTCTTTTAAAAACATTTTCAAAAATCCTAGATAAAATGTGGTTTAGCAAGGCACTGTATACCTCGCACTGGAAGATCGAGGATTTTGACGAGGGATGGGAGCAGAAACCCAAAATACCCCCCCCCCTGCTTTAAAGATACATTTGAAGTCAATGTTTGTCCTAGAACCCACCCAAATGCCATCATATAGTTCAACTACAACTTTAAATGACATTTTTGATAAAAATGCAATATAGTGCAATCTGTTGTGTTGCAGAAATTGTTTATACCTATCTTTTGGGGAGGGGTAAGCTCCTGGCTCCTCCGATGCCTTGCAAGAGCTCCTGATTCCTACTTTGCCTGGGTTAAGTATTGTTGACTTTTGTATCTATTTGGTATTGCAGCCCAAGGTATTGAGTTCTTGCCATGCTCTGACCCATGGGGACACAGTGCAGATAGCTGACAGCACATTCCTCCTGCACATCCATCCTGGCCTAGAGACCTGTGATCTCTGTGAACCCGGCCAGGTCCAGGCACACCTGAAAGCCCAGCAAGAACAACCCAGAGGTTACTGTATTTATTATTTATTTATTTTGAGTACCTTTTTACAATTATTGTGACAGTAATTGAAACACATTGAAGCACATTGAAGTGGGAAATATTTTTTTGGCACTGTTTAATTATTGGATGACGTTTCTAATTTGGTAACACTTAAACCCAGGTATAAGTCTTTCTGTAAGAAGTTTAAGTTCTTAGTTAAGGAAATATACATATATCAAGCAAGAAATAAAACTCAACTACTTTCGCTCTTTATAGAAATAAAAATCCTCAGTAAAGAAGATAAAGAAAAGCTTAGAAGACAAGAAATGAAGAAAATTAGGAAAAAATTTGGACTAGAGGTAAGTTCAATACCAGTCTCCTAAATGGTTTGCATCATCAAAAACCCTTTCTTCAGAAATATCTTTTTATTTATGAGTAATTTTCAGAAATTTTCACATGGGTGACTTCCAAAAGTTGAACATTGAAACAGAAAGATTATGAATTTTATAGAAGCTTATATTTCTTATGGATCCACATTACAATACGCGCACACGCGCGTGCACATGCACACACAGTATCATTTCTTTCACTATAATTATAACTATAAGATTTTATATTGTCTAATATTTAATAGTTATAAAATTTTTTTCAGAGTGCCCCATATGAACAAAACTCTTCTGCTGTGAACAATCCTGCTTACACTGACAAGGCGGAGGTGAGGAGGAAGACAGTGGGCAGTGATAATCCATACCAAAAGGATGACGCCCCAGCCTCTGTTGATGTGTAAGTACCCTTGTAGACACAGAATGGCTGCCTTCACTCTTTATTCCCAATAAATGTTACTTAAATATAAGGAATTCTGAGGGAAGTACTTTCATTTGTATAAAATTGAATTATGACTGTTAATTATAACTTTCATTGGGTTGCAGAATGTTTGCTGCAGATTAATTTCCAAAGCTTGGTTTTTGTTGTGGTTCTGGAAAAATATAATTTTTTTATAAATTCTCATGACAAATATGTGTAGGAAAAATCAATTCATAATGTACATAGAAAGGGCAGTATACAAAATAAGTAGAAAAATTGTGGCCTGGGTGAAAAATGAGAAGTCTTCTAATTTATCATGACTTGTTCCTTTCTGAAGGGCTATATCTACAGAGAACAAGGGTCACAAGTTGCTGAAGAAGATGGGATGGGCTTCTGGAGAAGGCCTTGGGAAAACACAGAAAGGAATCAAAGAACCAGTAAGTTCCTTTTTTAATTAAAAGTATGATCACATAAGCTAAAAAGTGAAATCAGATCCCAACAACTTTTATTAAATTGGTAGTAAAGAGGAAAACATGGATGCTGACAGATAAAAAAGAATGTGTTATTAATATATGAAAATATTGGGTCTGGATTTAAAATTGATATATCCTGTTTAGTTGAGACACTTGCACATAAAGGTGCACATGCACTAAAAGAAGAATACGTGCACTTGTTGTTGAGCAGAATTACTTGGTATTTTCCCTCAATTAGTTCACAGACATTAAGCCCTACAGCTATGATATGGGAAGAAGCATTATTGTTTTGTCTCCTTTTGATCTACTCCCACTTGCTATTACATATGCATTGTTGCATGGGAAGAAAAGGTCTTAAGATGATCAATAATAAATTGTACTAATAAATTGTATTAGAAATATTAAGGTAAAAAAATGAATTATTATTGGATATGTTTTTTTGTCTTGATTTATAAAAGTGGACAATCAACAGTACCCCTAAAGTGACATTTCAAGAAAGGAAGTTGTTCTGTGGTTAAGTAGTTACAAAAAATACTTGTATGAAATGCTAGACACAACATGTTATTTAATAACCACAGAAGATGATTTATTTAAAATGAAATTATGATTTTTTTTTAACATTTCCTTCTTTTTTTTCAATTTATCACTTTGTGTTATTTTCTAGATCCAAGTTAATATCCGGCTGCGGCAGACAGCAGGCCTGGGTTCAGCAGTATCAGTGGAGAGGTCTATGGATGATGCTCACGTCAAGAATACACAGGAAAAGTGGTTGAAAGCTCAAGATAGGTTCTCTGCTTTGGGTCAAGGAAAAGGAATAGCACAGGAAAAGAAAGAACACTCTATTAAATCAAAGACATGGTTAAAAGGGGAAACTGTTAATGCGACTATAGATAAAGTTGAAAATAATGACAATGGTTAAATGCATCATTTCAGTCTATTTATAACTTTTCTTGAACAAAAAATATATATTATAGATACTGATCCTAGATTTTTGTTTATTATATGACTTTTTGTGATGACAAAAATGATCAACACCAATTGTTTTGGATTTAGGATTTTATTCTGCATGGAAGACACCACAACAAATTTCAATATTTTTAATTTGTGCCAAAATTGATGGTGTTGGACTATTTGAAGGAGCATCATTAAATTCAAGAGTTACAAAGCCAAACGATCCATGCATGAGGATTTTGTTATCATACAACTTTCTGAATACATAAAAAAGGTTTACTTTATTCTGTATGTGCAATGAAAAGGAAAAGGAATCCCCATGAAATAAAAAAATAAAGAGGACAATATGTTTTGCTTAAGAGTAGATTGGTAACCATTTTATAATCTGAATGTGCCATATTAAAAACATTTTAGCATAATTGTTTGTAAAGACACCAAATTCTGGACAAATCTTGGTGGTTTATGATCTCCAGAGATGGTAATTGGGTGAGATTTCATTTTGGTACAGTATTTTCAGTGAATAAGTAAGATGTAGGTATATAGGATAAAAGTGGGGACCTGTTGTAAAGTATGGAAAGAAAGATCAAATCTGTTGCATGAAGTATCTAGTGCTAGTAGAATGCCCCGGTTTTCTTCAAGTCCAATAATTTAATGATTAAATACAAAGTTAAATGTAAGTGAAGAAAAAGACGAATAAGATTGAGTATTCACTTTTGAGTTTGAAAGTGTAAGAGAGCAGTGCAAAATGTCGATAACCCCATAAAAATGTGTGCTTTATTTTGTATTTGTTGGTTCCAACGTTGCAAGAGATTAAGACGACACATCACGCAACAAAAAAGTAGTTACCAAAAATTTATTTTTGCATGAGAATTGACACTTGTGGGGGAAAACGTATTTTAGGCGGATGTAGGCTCCATTTTATTTCCACTTTAAAATCCATATTTATAGCAATAATTTGGCTTTGGCATGCAAATATTCACTGCGCGAAACCTCCCCGCAGACTAAATCAAACTTAAGTAATGACAGCGAGGACAATAAAGAACTTGATGAGCCTCGCCAAGATGATGTATTTGGAAACATATGAGACCAAAGATCTCATGGGAGTCCAGTAATCACCGAGACGAGCTGAGCTCCACCTACGATAACCCGAATGAACAGGGGCTGTTCATTACAAAAGATTGATACTGTCAAAGGTGTCTGATGCGGTTGAAAGTTGAGGCGTGTAAATAAACGGACAAAACATCAACGGACCAAGGAATGTCTGAGGTGAAATTGTGGTTTTTAATGTTGACAATAAATTACTTTTTGTCTGGCACGATATAGCCAAATCCAGGATGTCTACGCAGGTAAGACAATTTACTCGGGGAGTGGTCACGAACGCAGATAATGATATACTGCTGTGAAAGGATCACTGTTCGCGGATATCTTAAGTGGACTTCCTACTTTATCTACATTATGAATTGTCACAGTGGTACCTCAAACCCACCAAAACATCAAACGACAGTCTTGTGACAATGTGTAATAATTGTGTCATTTTACTCTTTGCGAAAACGGTGGCATTCCAATGCTTAGTGTTAATTAAAATGGGGGAAAGTGCACTGATTGAACTCCTTGGTCGTCGCTCCACCGTCTAGTTCGAGTCTGTTCCTCTGATAAAATGGCTCTTTTTCATAGGAGAATGGTTGTGCGATAGTCCCGAGACGACACATTCATTTCTTCGGATTTTCCTGGTCTTTGTCTGAAAAATGAGAGGGTGGACATAGTGCTTGATTGAAAACTCGTTAACCGTGATCAATCGCAGTATATAACGGCACGCCCTGTGCTAACGACCGCAATATGTCCCCACAGTACGTGATGAGTACGCCCACACGAAGCGCAGAATTGGCTTAATCTACTCCGTCGTCTGGCTTTTGAATAAATCTATACTGGCTGGCTGGCTGTCTGGACTGAAACTTGCTCAACTTTTGAAGTAATTAGTGGCTGAATGTTAAATAACGTGACATGACTATAATCCCAATGTGAACCCAATTGTTCGTTCATTATTCATTCACAACGTAATGTTAGCATAAGTCAAAGTTTTGTGACTGATTGATTACCAGTTTTAAAAATTTGAAGAGTCGAAAATATCTGTATGCTGTGTTTTTGAATGATAAACCTGATTTAGGGCACAAAGGGATGAGAATCGAAGGCACGACCAAGAGCTGTTTCATGGAGTATATGTTGCCAGTAATGCCCGCGTCTTTGCCTCCACCATATATGTCATTACATAGCATCAGAGAAAACAAACACAGAATTGTTAAATTTGAGAAAAAATCTTGAATTCTTCCAGATTCATTCTGCAAAGCAACATTGTCTAAAAAAATCTTAATGATTCTCCTATTTATTTCGTAGTAATGAAAGCAAGAATCGTTGCAACGTCCTTAAACATGCAATATTTGTCAATATTTATTACTTACAATTCATTGATATGTATCATAGACGAAGTTTTGTGGCAGTAGATAATTACGATAATATCTGCATCGATTTTAATTTCAAATTCTGCTATGAAGTAACAACACTTGAATATAATATTCTATATTGATAACATTCTGCGTTAATCTGGTATTAGCGATTAGGTATTGTATATACCGATATCCCTTTGAAAAAAGTTTTATTCATCGGCATGCGTGTATTGGGGGGAGCTATTCAGGGACACATTTTCTTTCTGTCATCTCGTATTAAAGTGAGAACATTCAGTTTGACTTTTTTCTTTGCAGTCAGTTGTAAATTTTTGGTGTAATTAACGCGTCTTTCGGCGAAGATATGAAAGTAGGGAGTATCAAATTCTGTCTCAAACGGTGATTTACCGACATCAAGAGGAGAGAGAAATTTGCAGGCCCTTTCACAGAATGGAGGACACGCAACTTGTCCACAGTAACAAATGAAATTGTCATGGAGAGGACGGGAGCATTCCTGGGATTTTTCTCATCACGATTATCTTATAGGCCTACCTTTTTTTATTTACTGACTGCTTGCGCTTGCTGCGCCTGTCGCTTAGTAAATAAACGGACATTGTAGGCCTAATTGTGTAACCGTCCAGTGAGCAAATGTCGAAAGAGAAGAGAGCGGTCTTAGAAAATAATTATTTTTTGTTTTGAGCTTGATGAGTTAATTATTAACAAAAAAAAAATGATGGTAACGTCAGAATATTCGAACAAAAATGAAAATTGGAGGAAAAATATTAATGTCTTTGACGCATTGTATTCACGACGTTGTTCAAAGTCAGTTCTCAGCCACATTTAGATAGACACCGTCCCCTATTCTGTGGCAACAGCACAAAAACTTTCCACAAAGTACGTCAGAAGAAAAACATGCATCAATGTTAGTGTTGCCACGGTTGCTACGAGGCATTTTTCTACGTACTCGCGCTTCATTCTAAATGGATCGCCTGAGAGGTGCAATGTTAATAATGCTTTGTTTTTCTTATGAAGTGATATGTAAAAAATGATTTTGTTTTGAACGTCCGTGATATCTGAAATTAGGAATGGCTTGCCTTTTTTCGATTAGATTTCAAACATAAATGTTCATTTTCGTTTATTTTTTTAAAAATTTGTTATATAGAACGAAAATGAAAAAAGAATGAGGTATTTAACAACACGAATTTTATTATAATTAATGAGGAAGGCCTTAATGCGCATAACAAATTGATTTTTATTTATTAATGAAATAACCTTTCATATATACCAGCGCATACCTACTGATAACCATTAAAGGGTTTTTAGAATCACGCTGACTAAAGCGGAAATAATCATTGCTTTTTTGTTTGTAGGTTTTCTTAACGAAAAGTGTAGGTTGATTCTTTAGCGAATGAAGTTTTCCGCACTCAAAGATTTATACGCATGTCCCCTGAGATTTGATGTTGGTTTCACGGGCTGCAATATTCGATATCCGTCCAATACAAAATCAGGACAAAAATTCCGACTGACATTGAATGTCTCAGTTAGTTCAAGTTGCAAGAAGCCAAGGCTGGTTAAACGTATCTTTTTTTAGTGTTCATTCAAGAAACACAGACTCTTTAAGAAATCAATAGACTGTCATCTGCTCAATTCAACCAAATCACCGGTAGGAGGTACTTGAGAAATCCTCCAGAGAACCTGTTATTTCCCAGTACCGGATCCTTTTTTATACAAAAAGATTTCATTCTAAGAGCCAACTAATGTAATTAGGTCGTAAAGCGAGCGGTCATTTTACGTGGGCGCGTGACTTTCACTTGCACTGGCTGATTTCTTGGCTCAAATGATGTAACCTAGACAGAGAATGGTCAGTGCAGAATTAAAGCCAGAACTCAAATGATATTAAATTGATTATAATTCTAGATTAAATCTATTTACGGAGTCGAGGTGTTTAAATGAACTCATATGTCATTGTCTGTGTAAGAAAAGTAAGGGGGGGGGTAGCATTGGACTTAAGTGCGAAAAAAAAAACAGTTCATGGTGTTTTCATCATATTTAGTATTTAGCGATATTACATTTTTTGGGTTTTTAGCTGAAAACTATGTTTCAAAAATGCGTTATTAGATAACGCGGACGGTTCCACGCATTTTCGGCATTTTCACTTTGAGTGAGAACGCAACTTTTGCCAAGGGCAGTAATTGCATTACATAAAGAGGGAACAAACGTCCACTTGTTACAAACACGTGACATTTCAACAGAAAATGAGGAAAGTTTGGAACATCAAAAAATCCCACAAATAGTACCTTCAAATACACAGCAAGCTGTTACAATTTCCTCAGTTTGAAACCGTTGCGTAAAATTTAAACTTTGGTCTTTTTTTTTCTTTTCTATGTTTGTTATATGTAATATACACGTAACTGGAAAGGAGTTATTTAACGTCGGTGAGGTATCTAGCCATGATAAACCTTCTTAGATGTTTTCAAGTATATTAAGAAGTGTTAATGTTTTATTCACGGCACACGTATGTCCTAAATAATGATTATCAATGACAAAAAGAAATCATTCCTATGCCTCAAACGCGGACAATGTTCTCCAGCAGAGATGACATAAAGAGGCCCAAAACTCACAATCCGTACATGGCTGTCACGGTTCCGCCCTTTTTTGTCACAATGAACATTTTTTGTAATTTTTCCATTAGTTGTATGGCTGCCAAATTATTTTCAATTTTCACATAGATTATGAAATGAAAGAAGAAATTTGACATCACACTACTGAAACGGAGAAACCTCGCAAATCAAAGTGAAATGTGGATGACAAACGAGAAAAATCTTGAAGGCGGGGTTGACGTACGTTAGACATCATTGCCTACGTTATTTACATAATTGAGTCGGAACATTTTTGTTTTTTTTTCCTTCGGGCAATAAACAGCAGGTGTGGCTGATATTTGGTTGTAATGAACATTCAAATTCACGCATGTTTCGCGGTTGTCACACGACTAGACCGTTATACAAACATACGCAAAACCTGAAATTAAACTTGATTGCTTTCATAGTTTTTAAGTGACTAAGACATAAAAGTTTTGCGAAGTGGAGAAATCTTCATCTGTTGTGTATTAGTCGTTCGGTTAATCATGACACAGAAAAGTTTATTAACACTTTAAGACGATTGTTAAGCAAATCAAAATAAATGTTCGTGTTATGATAAATCAAAGTAGTAATATTAAAATTAGTCCAGGCAAATGGGCCTCGTAGGTATAGAAATAGTCATAATAATTCAGTGCACATTCTAATCACCGTTAGCCGTTGGCTATAGCAAAATATAAAATTTTAATGATTTGAATATTTGTGCAGAATGCCACAAAACGTAGTATTCTATACGAAACTAGTGTCATCGCACGTTATCTCAGAATAAGCAGGTCACGTGACAAGGTCATCCCCTTTTCACGTGTCATAGCGTTTTACAAATAGTTCCTACCGGAGTAAATGTTAAAGGAAGAGGCAGAAAGCGAACGCGTGACTTTTTTGTTTAATTTAGAACCTTATTATAGCTTAACTAGACATAGTCACGTCTTTTTGAAGTACTTTTAGCTCGCCATATTAGCTCTATTGAATGAACGTGAATATCGGTCTGTACGCAGTAGAAGTGCTATGGAAGTTTCCAGTGTGTAGATTCAATAAGGAAACACTGTATCCTATTTGCATACTAAATTCTTCACACTCCAATACTCGGTCATTTAAAAAATGAACACCAGTAATTACTACAGTAGTTATCCAGACGGTTGGGATAAAATCTCTATATCATATCTGTCATTATACCAGGATTTATGTCTTGGCAGACTGTCAGCAGTTTAATTTTGCTGAAACATATAGAAATTAATTTGTAGCCGTTAAACAGAGCAACGGTCAATTGTTTTAAATGTAAACATCAACCCCATATATAACATATCAGAAAACCCAACGTAACAACTTCATTGCCATCTTATTTATTCACAATTGTTTCATTCCATTAGTTTATTTAAAATAACATATACGTTTACAGTCTACATCTCTTTACAACACTTGCTAGAGGCGCTAGAACATGCGGTTATTCTGTCCAGCACAGCATCACTCAGTTCTCTTGCACTGTCTGATGTGGTTTGTGGTTTTCATGTCTGGAACGCGAATTGTAATAATTACCCTTGATTAAAAGAGTGACCACGATAAAATGGAAAACTATGCGCACACATTACAGGAGTGTTAAGGACAATCATTAACGTGCACCGTGTGAAAGTCTCGAAGAAGGGTTATAGATTAATGACTCACTAGGGTCACTGGAGAAACGCTCTGTCGCAGGTAGGTCGTGAGTAGCACCTGTGCGGCGTGTATTGTAAAAGGAGAGAATGGACAATAAACGTCTTTTGGATGGCCCTTACTATCGTGGCCTTCTTCATAATGTTTAATAAAATGCTGAAATTTAAAACAGGCTCGAAATTCATCGAGGAATGTATGAGTATGGTAGCTCAATTTGGGGGCACTACGTTCCCAGGAATGCGTGGAGGGAAACAAGATCTGAAAATTACCTTTTTTTTATTTTAGATTGAATTCTTATTTGTGCTTATATGCATACACATCATTCACATAAAAGGTGGATGTGGGTCCTGAAATACATTAAAGACGGGAATTGTAGTGTAGGGTTATTTCTTTTTCACTTATCAAATTTTACTCAAACGAAAAGAGCCTGCATATTTTTTACAGGTTTTTTGCATGATAGGGTGAGCGAGTTGAGTGCTTCCGGGCTTGCTCGCAAATGTGCTCATTGGTATGAGTATTTACCGGCTTATTTCCTTGAGTGGCCATCTAAGAATAAAGCACTAAATATATCATTATCTGTTGTAGTAAATATAATATAAGTACACTTTAACTTATTGTCCAATTAATAAACCATTATCAAGTTGTTACATGCAAATCGGTTATTAACCCCCCTGGTAATGGAAAATGATAGGCGAAAAATAAAACACTTTTCAAATCGCTAGAAAGCCTCATGCAATTGTCGCTCGCAGAACATTTCGTTAAAATTAGAAAATGGAGAGGAGGTGTGGTGGTGCGGGTGGCGTGACTAGACATTTTTTTCTTTTTTGCTTCTAGACATTCGTTTACGGTGAATGCTGATGAGAAAGCGAACGTAGTCACGCCTTCGTCAAAAAGAAGTTTAAAAAAGGATGTTATTAGTTATAAAAAAGGCGTTAGACGAAAAAGTCCAATTGAACTATATGTCATAAAACTCGGCTTTCATAAAATATATTTCGTTTAAAGATTTGCCATTAAGTGATTGTCAGTCCAAGGTATAGAGAGTTGACTGTATGAAAATAATGCGTCTTTTTTTAAAGTTTGTATAACTTGAATATTTGAGATCAAGCACCGAGACTTAGATCTAAAGCGACAAAAGATTGTAATTAAATTAAAAAATATATCCGCAAAACACAAGTAGAAGGGGCGTAAAATGAATGAACAAATCCGATTTCACATTGCATACGGATCGCCTCTTCTTTTGCTAACTCTTTATGTTGAAGCTAAACAAATGAAGTGAATATATGGAACTCCCTGTATCCCTTCACAATCTTCAACGATGGCCACGGAGTACTTGCTGTCTGTGGTGAGCTGTGGACAAACAGCCCACAGAGACAGGCCGTATTGAGAAGGCGCAAATTATGGACCCGAGCTAAGGTGATATAAATAACGAATATTTTAATAGAACTAGTATCCGAAGTGCGATTTAACCCCGTTTCGTGGAGTACGTCGCGTAAATGTTCGCCCCTATGCCTGTAGGTAACTACTTCCCATGCAAGGAGGTTTTCCCGAAGAAAACATCTGGAAGGACGATCGATGGTTTTGAATGAAAGCTGTGAGCATTAAATCTCGACTACAATCTTTCCATCGATGTTCCTTTCTACGTCATACACGCAGGTCGGGAGAAGAAAAAACGCGGGCGCGTGAAAAAAATCACGCTACATCGACATTAACCTGACGTCCCCTCTCTCTGTGTTACTTAAATTATCTAAACGTCCTCTTGATTCACCTGGTCTCGCATCTCGCCTATTAATGACAGTTCTTCCCAATACCTGGGGTTGAATGAGGGCTACTTATAAAGAGTGCCCACACACGAAGCGAAAATCACAGTAATACAAGCCCCCCCCCCCCCCTCCTACAACAGCACACCTTTCCTGACACCGACAGTTAGTCGAGCCAATGTTAATGAGTTTTTAATGATTTTTGAGGTCCTATTTCAAGGCAGACTGTGTCCTTGTTATCTGATTACAACAACGAGACAGGGAGTGGAGGGGAGTGGACAGCCACCTGTCTGGGTTCAGGATACCGAAAGAGGCCAAACCACGTCTTGTTGTTTTTCCACAAATTTTCTTAATTCGATAGAGATTAATCAGAGTAAACATGTCTGACGTCAAAACGCGGATTATTCTCTAGTCGTGCTTTTTCGGAAAGGGGTTATGTGAACTTCATGTTCCTGTAGTTACAGGTCGTCTTTTTATTTAACATGGGTTCTTTCTATGGCTGTCTTATTTCCAGATTTGAGCAAATGTTTACACATATAGCATTCAGATGATAAGATAATAGGGCTTTAAGCCTTATGAAATCGGCGCAAAGACAAGCACAACCAAAATGAGTCGACGTGCCCGCTACAGCACATATATCACGTCAAATGCTTAACTCTTGCAATTATCAGTTAACCTTCGCGGTCTAAACTACCAGCATTCATTATGAGCGGAATATATACCTTCCCATATATCTCAAACCCTCACTTTTCATGTCATGTTCTTCTTGGCACTTGATCCTTAAATTTTTCAGTTATTACATGTCGCGTGCCCGATAAAATTCCTTCAGCCTGTGAACGTTTTGTAAATGGCTTAGTTGAAGGTTGCGAAAATGCGAAAAACATCTAACAAGAATAACGATAAATTTTTGAAAAAGCTGTATGATAATCCCAGACCCTTTAAGAGGTGGATTCTGTTATAATTATAGGTTAATTAGGTTACTTATCATCTCTGACGTCAGGTACGGTGATCATAGTCTACAAGTTAATTGTTTCCGAGAAATGTGAAAATGGCCCGCCAGCATGCTACGTCAAACGCTAACAGTCCTCACTCATTAACCTGTCTGCTCGAGGTCGTTTCAGCTCCGTTTGTCAGATTAAGAAAAATACATTACATTCACAACAGATCACAATAACTGAGTTTCAATCAAAGTACGTGAAACATTTCTCCTATTTCAGTCAGCTTTATATTCCGTTTTGTAATCCTATGCGAGTAAAACCGTTGTTTTGTTTATTAGCGATATCTACTATTTCAAACCACACTGAAATTGGACAACCTCAGCGTGTTTTGACTGAAGTGCCCCACGAGGAGCGTTCGCACTCGTTGGCGTTCGAGCCGTCTCTTTTGACGGACGGGGGCTGCGGCTGCACCTACCAGTGACGAGATCTTCTCGTGGACTGAAGGCATACTTAACATAATTTCCCCCCAAATAAATAGCATCACACTTCAGATGCCCCCTCAGATGTTAGTGGAAAACTGTAGGAGAAACTGGATGCCATTGTATTCATCATTACTACCAAAATCCCATAGATATGTGCAGCGAAGCCGATGTAATGACTTGTCTTGCAGTATTTGTCAGTATCTTATTATTTGGAGGTCATCAGACGTCAGGTGAGAACGTAATGTAACTGCTTGTCTGTAAAAAGGAAGTTCGTTATGTAATAAAACTACTTTGACGTACTTTGATTTTTTAAAATCAATAATATACCAATTAGGACAACTGCGGCAGCAGCAGTAATGATGTCAGACTGACAGTGCCAGTAGCACAAAAAGGGACAGTAGTAATGGGCTATCTCAAAACGCTTTTTTTTTTGTTATCACTGTTATTTAATCAGTTTTATGGTTGCTTTTCTCAAACGGATGAGAGATGTTTCTCCATAAAAATGTGTAGCTTTATTGCATTTTGTCTGACGGTTTCGCTTATTCTGTGAGCCTTTCTAAACCCCACAACTACTTTTAACACCTTTAGTCCTTTAATCGTGAGATGACGTGTTTAAAGGCATTTTGATTAAGTACAGTTCATCTAATACATTATCGGCCAGGAATGTGACACAAATGAAGGTATTTCATTCCTCTAACTGGGAATGGGTCTCCAAACGAGTAAATAATCGTTGGCCTTGAATCCCCCCACCCAAATTAAAGCAGAAGGTATTCCGATTAAAAAAGTCATGCTTCTCTATTGTTTTAACTGGAAATGTTTAGCAATGCGTGTTCTGAGTCGGTCCCTTTAGTCTCATTCATTGACGGGATCGCTAACCACGTGGTTGGGAAGAGGCAAACATGGTCCCCGTATAAATTGCGTGGATAGCCAGACGGAGGGAGATATATGCGTTAACATCGGTGTTACGTGCATCACATCTACGACAGTGCCCTTATTGGAAAAACGATTTTTTCTGCTTCGTTTCTATTATATCATTTTATTCTGGACGTTGGAAGAGACAGGCTGATTGCATAAAATATAAAAAAACTGCTTCTTGCAAAAATGCAGACTTTTACCATCATTCACCGCGCCGTAATGGGGAAATCCGTGGTCCTGCTTACTTGCTTGTGGATGATACTCTATATTTCATCAAGCCCAGTGGCAGGTAGGTACAGCGATTTTGATATAGTGGATACTTTCGTAAAAGAAACTGAATCGTTTTAAACGTCGATTCTTAGTATTTTTCAGAATGCGTACCATTCCCGCCACTTTATCTTTACTTTCTTTTATATTTCAGGCACCTGGTATCTTTCTTGTATCTCTGATATATATTTTTTTCTTTCTGTGAATAGACGAGATAAATAGCCTGGTTTGTCTGGCACTTTGCCCTCCAGTGCACTTGAAGCGTATCTTTAGGTTGAGTAATCGTTTACATGCTGGAATTTCGATTGCACATTAAAACGGCATTTTGCGCTCGAAATCATAAAAACAGCACAGAATAACATCATTGACGTGTTGTCTTGGAAAGATAAACCCACTCACTGGAGGTGGAAGAAGTGGTGAGTTGTTATACACATAAGACAAAGAGCGCGACGTAAAATAAGGTTATTTCTCCGTGTTAACGATTAACCTGTAAATTTACGGCACGTTTTGCGGCAGAACTCGGCGCGTTTCTGTGACGGAGAGCCATGTATCTTCATTGCGGTCTGGAAGATGGTTAATCATTTTTCGCCGTGCAATATTTCATTGAAGACATATGCATTCAATGTCCCATTTCATTCGAAATCCTTTCATTTACACCAGCAATCTATGCTATTTAACAAGACTGTATGAATTAATTGGCCAGGGAGTTGTCTAGATAAACTTTGGAATGAAAGAGTTTGACAAGGGTTGTAGCTATTTGTCCGACACTTTTTCGTGCAAGGGAAATCTTAGTTTAGTATAGAGAAAACACATTGATCTGTATCTAAACAATCATTATTTAGAACGAGTATAGCAAAATACATATGTAAAACACTTCATGTTTGTTCTCCGTTGCTTTGAGTGGACATCACGTATTTGACAGCCAGTCAATGAATCCATTGGGGCGCGGCCGAAACAGGTGCCCTTTTCCTTTTCGGCAATATTATCAAACCATCTACAATTTCAATAAAACGGTACCCATGGACCTCAAGTTAAACTGTGGACGTGTCAACCCCTTTCATTCCAAAGTTTACACAGACGTCCCCTTGGCCAATTCCTCTCGCTCTAAAAGTTAACAGAATAAGTATTTTTCACGAACATGAGTGCCAAAATGTGCCGTAGATAAAAGACAGGGTTCAGCTAGAAGTCAGACGTAATTTTATGATTTCCAATCAAGTGAAATTTTGTTATTCCGACCTCACAACGATCTGGGGTCATCCATTGTTGTAAGCGAGGCGATGTTTTGCCGAGTGGAGGAGACAGGTCGCGACCTTTTCGCTAACAAAACCCAAAATCGGACCGAATTCCTCACAGATGGACTGATCAAGATATCAGGGGCGCGGCAATCCGGCGCGTGGCACGACGGGTGCGTCCTTAATGAAGATGAGAGTCGCATATCACCGCGACCGAGAATGACACGGCAGTTACCGGAGGAAGGTACTTCTGACACGGAAACTCACATAATCTGAGGCCTTGCGTCTTTTCGTCTTTTGTCAGCCTTCGAGCGGTCGCGATGGCTCCTCTACACAGGAATCCGCGTTTTTCTCCACAATCACTCGTATTTCATAATACGTGTGGTTGGTTGTCGTATTTCAGATATTCATCTTATCACTTAAACAAATATTTGTTCGAGGAAAAATATGTATCAAGATGCCGATTACGTGAAAAGCCAAACAAATAAATATTTCTTTGCGTTGAATTAAGTCGTTCCAATGAAATAAACTGCTCCATCATCTCAGGGAGAGAGCTCACTTATTATTATGAGAATCACACACAATAGCATGTTTCGTGTGCTATTTTTACCGAGCAGATAATGAAAAATGGCACTACATAGTTAAATTTATCTTTGTTATTTCATTTCCATCAAAAGACTCACGCAAGGTAAATTTGTACCAAAGTATTGAACCAATAAATTTAAGTGCGTCCAACCCTGCAAATGATTAGCGAAGCCGTCTCCTAACAAGTAATGAAATAGCTGTTTTGGTGCTTTTTACGAAAAATTTTAAGTTCGTCAACATTCTTCCCCGTCGTTTTAAAACAAATGCTGTAATATATAAAAGGTGCAAGGGAGGAAGCACTTATTTTTAATGTCAAATGCTGAGTGGCGTTTCTCTAATATCTGAGCTATTTAGCCATGTCTGGTCTTATTTGTTTTCACGTGCTCCCCACTTAGAGAATGTACATGCCTATTATCTACTAAAGATGCGTCTGGGAGGTCAACCTGGAGGTCAGAAAAAACTTGCCGCTACTAAAAGAGTGGCAAGATTGAGTCAATATTTTCATAATCATTTGAACAAGTTTTGAAGCTGGAATATTAAAATGTTGTGCCCCTTGCCCATGGCCCAGCTTGTCACTGTTTAGGTGGGCATGGTCTTTTTGTTAGATCAACAAAGTCACATCCGCCGGGAAGTCTTTGATTGTTGTGCTGAGTGATCCCTCCGTGCAGTAATGGTGCTCGAATTCTTTTTTGCTGTTTTTATAAATTAATTTGTTTTGTTTTCGCTAACAAAATTAGCATCAGATCTGTGATTCAAATGCAGCAGATAATGAAACACCGGCTGCACAAATGCGTGATTCACTAGTGCCTTCACATTCCTCAAACATAAATATGAAGTTATTTGGTACAAACGTGTTCGTTTCTTCAACAGCTCTGTCCCATGTCTTGATGGTTACGATGTGACACATGCCCTTGGGTCCTTATGAGCGTTTTCCAACGATATGTTTTCACCTTCCCTCAAATTTAATGATGCCCCCTCCCTCCTACGCCGTGTGCCGCAGCTGCTTATGCACAAAAAGACGATCTTGAAATTAGTGTGTGTCATATTTCAAAACACTTTAAATATACCGCCTACGATAAATCATATCCATTGCATTGGACAACACCAGCAATAGCACTTGACTGAACTAAGTATCAATGTATGTTTTCTTGACTGGAGGTGAGAGTGTAGTTTAGCCATGACCCACGGCACTGAGACGACACTGAAACGATGGCAATTAATTGCTTTCTTTCAAATATATATATATTTTTGATTGATTTAAGCTAATATCCAATATTCGTAACTTGGGCCAACAGGTTCACATAACGGATCTACTGTTTTTGTCTGGACATATCATTAAACAAAGTCTTCAAGAATGCCTTGACTGTGAAATATTCCTAAATTACGAACCAAACCGAAAACTAAATCGTCTGTAAGACGTGATGAACAGCCTTGCATCTACCAGCTAATTCTTAAATTCCAGTCTTCTGGGCTTGCTGCCAAGTTCTGTTCTGCGGTGGAAATAAATTCTATTCTACACAAGTTACTGTTCCATTATTTGTACAATGTTTTATGCTTTGACGATTTGTTAAACATCTCATTGGATCCATGACATAGGCTTCTGTGCACGGGTAGTGTACTCCAGTGTTCTTTGTCATTTAGTCTTAAACCTAACTCATTATTCCAATAAAATGATTGGGAGGAAATAACCCCTTTCTTTATAATTTTCAGTTGGATATGGTTGATAAACGTATCCACAATGGGTAATCAATGTTAACACAAAGCCTCCTCGTGGTAGTACAACAAACACTGATTAAACATCCTTCCTACGACTTGTGCATGAGTGCCAGATATCTCCAACGGCTATGTGGAGATGCTTACCAATTTAATCTCATATTATACTATCGGAACAGTGTGTTTCCTTTTTGTATTTTACAAATTTCTAGTAACAATCATCTTTTACTGCCTCTGGGTATTTTGTCTATATGATTTGTTCTTCAATTTCCTTGTCACACAATGCAAACGTTGCTCTCTTCCAAGCAACTGGTAGTGCAGGTTTTGTTCTTTACGTATTATGTTCTGTGTTCAACCATCTGAATCAGTCTGCAACAGTTCCTGGGAGGTTTGGTTAATTGACCGAGTGAGTTGGTAAGCGTAGCATCAGTATATCAACAAGGAAAATTACTTATGATTATCTTTTTCAGGCACAGGATTTTGAGAAGGAAGGGGATGTTGCATTCAGGTTTTCTGTCAGCAGCAATTCTTTTGGGGTTTATTTGTCCATGTCTTTTATTTTTTAGAAGGAACAAATCAACTGAGCCTTCAAATTCTTTAATCAAATTGGCCAAAGGTGGTTCCATTTTACCATACATTGCATAATATAATTTTTACTTGAGCTAACAGCTCCTAGGCCAATTAGAAAAGTGCTCCCACAAACCATGCACCCCAAGCTTCAAACTGTGAATGATGGTTTCTTCTACACAATACAACATAGTTATTTCTTGCTACATCTTCTTATATTTCAGCTGGGAATTGCTGGTTGATGGTTGGCAGCAATGGACTGTGCCAAAGTTTCTATAAAGGCAATGTATCCCGGGAGGAATGCTGCAGAAGGGGGCATGCAAATAGGGCATGGACACCAGAAGACTTATCCTCAGGGGAACTGTTCTACATTTTGGCCATAAGACAAGGGGCTCCAAACTGCCAACCTTGCCAAGGTATGATACACAGTTCATGGTTTGCAAAGAGCACCATCTCTGTCAAGACTATGGAGAAACTATGTTATATTCTCTTAGAAAGTACAACTAACAACAGAGACCCTTTGTGTAATTGTGAAAACTGAAAATAAATAGAAAAAGCAGTTTATGAGTAAATCTGAAAGCCCACAATCATGATCATGCTCATTGTAGCCCTGTATAAGATGACGGGTGCCAACAGACTGACGTTTGTATGAAGGGCCAGGTTATTTATTTAGCAAAGAAGTTAACTAAGGTAATTGGCTTTTTGTCAAAAGTCTAAGAAAAAGGTATCCAGGGAACCTGTCTACAATATAATTAAGTACAAGAAAAACACCTGTTACATGATCGTCTGGAGATACAGATCTGTTTGACCAGGCTAATTAAACTGGAAAAAATGCAATGCCCATCATTACCTTTATGAAGACTTTCAGAAAGTGACAACTGTTAATGAATACATTTGAGTAGATACAAACCAGAAGCTTTCTATCTTAGTGACATCAACACTAAGAAATCTAAGAGGCAATAAGGATAAAGCACTTCTGTTCTAATCATATTATCCTTTCAGACCTGTTTTGGTCTATTTTGATATACACTGAATAACATTTAATTTGGTATTTCCTTAAAAAAGACTCTTGAAAAACATTTTTGCCTGTGAAGTTCTTTTTTTAGTGCAAAATGTGTGTTTCCTATTTCCTCCCTCCCCTTATTAACAGTTTTAACATATTTCTCCCATAATAAATCCTGACAAGTCTTACACCTTTTGAATGAGCCTTGTTGTATAATTTTGTAATCATGTTCTAAAAATAATAGAAACAGAGGACATATTACGTAATGCAATAGAACATGTTTAGTTGGTTGTACTTAGACAGTGCAACACATTTATTCAATAATTGTTCGTGACTTGCTAATTAATTTCTTCCAATTTCAATACATGCTATTATTTCTAAATCAGAGAATAAAGAGCAGGTAGCAGATGATACATGTACCCCACTTTTCCAATATACTCTCTTCTGTCAGGTTCTGCAGAACTGTTCTGATAAAATTGGCACTTAAATAATGAAAGAATGCCAACAATACACATGTCAAGTGAACACCATTAAGGGGGCTCATCCAAGAGTCTAAAACTGCATGATGCAATATAAAAACACGTCAGAAGCAATATGAGGTGTGAGAAATCTAGCTTGATATTACATTTTGTTGTGAGACCTTGGGATATCTTGGATGATCCCCATTCCACATCCCATCCATCCATTTCACACACCACCCCCTTGCAAGAAAGTTTAAATTTACTTTCACAATTTTTCATTTGGTCTCTACAGAAGAGATCCATTTATCAATTTCTAGGAAAATGTGCTTTTTCTATTGCACACTGCAACAAGTGTCTGCCAAAAGCATAACATCAAAACCGCAACAAGTGCTTTGCATAGCTCTAGCATCTCTAGCAACTCAGGTGAAAACAGATGTTAGCTCCATCAAATCCACACTGGTTTGCAGCATACAGCTGCACTAATGTTCTGAGCCTGTAATGTTTATGTGCTCCTTCTGTCTGTTGTTTACTGATAGATTTGACATTATGTCCTTCCTTATATATAAATATATATGTGCTTCTTATGTTTAACCTTCTGAACTTCAAACAAATTTACATTTCGTTTCAAAAAAAGACACCAGAATTGTCTTTAACAGCATTGGAGGCAAGTTATTACATCAAAATAAGCATGTGATAATAAGGCATTACTTTGTATTTAAAGTTCATTTAATGGTGATTGAGCAATTTTATGATTATGATTATTTTTTAAAACTTTTTGTTTTTTCCCTCAGAGACCTGTGAGCAGGTAAAATGTGAGGAAGGCAAGAGATGCAAAATGCGCAATGGCCGCCCCAAGTGTGTGTGTGCTCCGCGATGTTCCAGTAACCGACCTCAGCACAAAGGCCCGCTATGTGGTACTGATGGCAGAATGTACCGAAATCACTGTAGTATGCTCAAATATAACTGCAGACACAATAAAAAAGTGGAAATTGCTTATTTTGGAAGATGTCAAAGTGAGTGTCTGTGTCTACTGTAGTGCAAGGATTGTTTATGTTAACTGCTTTTCAGTTGCTATAATGAACTTTTTCTGTATGATATTTAACATGTTTGAAAGGATTGGAGAAAAGTCTAAGGTGCATCAGAATTTCTTGATGTTCAATTTCTATCATAGGCACAATTATGTCCAAAACTTTTAAAAATTCCCTTTTCAAACTTTCAGAATCCTGTGATAATGTAATATGCACTGACAACAAAAACTGTGTGGTGGATCAGAATGGCATGCCTCACTGTGTGTACTGCTCTATCCACTGTCCTCCCGCCCACAGTGCCAGCCAGATGATCTGTGGGGCTGATGGCGTCACCTATGAAAGCTTCTGCTTGCTGCAACAAGCCACTTGCAGGAAAGGCAGGACAATAGGCAGTGCCTACCACGGCCCATGTCAAGGTGAGCTTCTACACGAACACCAGACAAAATATTTCTACAAGGGGAAAAGTCTGGAGATTCAAATTTTATTTCCAAAAGGCTTGTCCTGTATCATCCAATGGAATTTTAGATGCTAGTTCATGATAATGTTTCTTTGGCATACAAGTTTAAATCCAATAGTCTGTAGTGTTCGGTAAATACAAAATCCATGGTCCAAAAATGCAAAGCCAGAAAATTTAAAGAAATGCCACCACTTGTCGTCTCTGAAATGTGATTTTGAATCGATGGTGATGTTATTCAGTTTTAATCCAGAAGTTACTCAGGCAAAAATTTAATAGATTAAGCCTATGCTGCATTGTAGTTGTAAGTGAAATTTCGTATTGGATAATTTTTGAGAATTTGAAGTTTAGGACTTTTTTTCGTATGGATAGATGAAACATGAACAAACTGAAATGGCTTTCATCACATGTGACACCTCCCACATGCTTACACCTGCACTCACCTGGACTATCTTTTCCATTTCTGCAACTTTTTAAGTTTTTAAAATGCTTTTAATTCTAAGTCAAATTCGAGTTTAGAGAAACAGTATAAATGCAGCTTTAATAGTGGTATCATAGAAAAAAAAACATAATTCTTTCAACATTCATTTAATTCAGCAAATTAACCTGAAGAATTGTAGGGGTTATGCATAGGAATGAATTCAATCAACTGCTAATCAATGTGTCTTGGGAAAACTTACAAGCTCTTTAACTCTGAAATTTTGTATATACTCCCGAAATTGAAAGCAACTGTCTGGCCTTTTTTTCCTAATACCCAGAGAATAGTAAATTTTAGTCCATGAAGGAGCAAATTTTTAAAGACAACCATCAGTGTCAAATGCATTCCATAAAAAGATCACGTAGATATTTAGCACAAGCATAAGATAAGCACAAGACTCGAGGGTTCAGCTATCTAGTATATGTATTATTTCATTAATTGCTGCAAAATACATTTTGGTTAAAGCAAATGAAAATTTGTTTTAAAAATGATTTGCAGGTTTCTTCTTATTTAATAGTTTATAGAAAATCCACTCATTTACTCTGTTACAAAGAAAATAAAAATACATGCAGATTTACATAGGTCATTGGGTACACCATAATCTATTGCTGGCTCGTCTGAATTAGTTTTAGTAGATAAAGGAAACATTACCAGTCTGGAGTATAAATATCTTCTTTACAAAAATGAATTCTAAACGAAAGTCAAAGGCTCTTTAATTCAAACCATTCTTAGACAGCTTCTACTAACAGATTCCTAGACAGAGGAGCTATTTACGGGGGAAGAGGGTAAGAGGGTACAGGACTGAAATGGGAATGGAAATTTAGTTTGTGTGAGTTCAGGTCAGTTGGGAGACCATCCAAACAAAGAGGTGACAAGGTGGAATTCCATGCAGAAATGTTAACAATGTGTAGACTTGTTTCTACAGTTACGCAGTGCATTTCCCTCTTCTCAATTGATAAAAAGAGATGGGTAGGTGTCAAGGTTATTGTCGCAATTTTTCTTACATCCTCTGGTATTGGTGAAATATTAAGTGTCAGTCATAAAGCCAACTTAAATCAACACATTAGCATCCACATGACACCAAACCTGACAAACCAAGATACGGTAATGACTGAATCTTTTCAATGAGCAAAAATTATCAAACTTTCAGATACATCATTTTAAAATCATAAAAATTATATTTTTTGTATGCATTTGTAGTGCTTTTAATGCATAGAATAGTTCTATAAGGTAGTCGATCTGCTTTTTCAATTTTGTTGTAACCACTCAATAGAAATGCTCTTATTTTAAGAAATTATCACTTAAAAAATACAGTATCTGTATAATTCTCAATTCCCCCCCATTGAAAAGATCTAGTCATCAATATATCATCAAGGTTGCTAAGTGTAGGTCTGTGTTATGCCCTTCATAAATCTGTTTAGTTTTTCTCCTTAAAATAAAATATGCTGGCTTAAAAAGAACAATGCCCTGTTGAAGATGTAGTGAGAGGAACCAAATGTTGCATTATTAAATGCTTTTTCTGGGTCTTTTATTGTAAATGATGTGCACTGCAGCACCATTGTCCCAATATCTAGATCACAGTCAACCAAACAGTATTGGCTTGATTTTGAGATTTAAAGGGCATTTGTGGTTGAGCCAGTTTGGAGGAGGGGGAGAGGGAAGTGCTTTTCAAGCTGTTGAACTAAGTAGGTCAGTGACCTTGATTTCATCTTCCTTCTCCTTTTTTTAATTATCTTGAAAAAGATTTTCCAATGGATAGAATCATATGATTATATTTTCAACATGTATGTTTTAACCTGAGAAAGGGTGTAAATTAAAATGCACGACCACACACAGGTTTTTAGTGGTTTTGGTGCACTTAGATATTAATTTTTAAAAAAGCCTAAGGCAATAACATATAATAAAATTATATAGTCTATAGAGTTGAGTTGTCTTTCAGGGAGAGAATCAGAAAGGAGTTTGATGGTTTTTTCATGGGAACAATTTGCCTTCTTTGTACTGGAAAACCTCACAAATTGTCATTTCTGGCTATCGCCTTCAATTGCGTATGGCACTTTTCCAACATCAATATCAGATACTTAGACAAAATTGCACATCGCTTTTCGTCAGGCATCAAGAACTGTGAAAATAAACCTTGAAATGATTCAGTTCAGACTGATTAGGAGTCAAAACATACTGGCTACATGCACTAGATTGCTGGGAGAAAATATCAACGGGCAGGGCATTGTTTTGAATACTGAAAGAACACTTCTACTAGGTATTTTATGTTCCCTTGAATTGATCCTAATCAGTTATTTGGAAATTTAATCTGTGTATTGAGAAAACTGGTGGCCCTAAGTGCACTTGCCCTTGCACTTGACCCACCCAACCTTGCTGTAAGCCATAGTCTATCGGTATACAAAACAGATCTTTTCCTGGAACAATTAAATCTGCTGACTGCATGAGAGTGCTCAAAGTGGAGAATTATTTTTGTCATCAATATCCTTGAGTATCTTTAGGTTGACAGTTTCTTTCAATGGAGGCTTGACTGCAAATAACAAATTTAAGATCTTAAGACATAATCCTGATTATAATGTAAATAATAGGTGTTTGAAGATGATTGCTTCCATTTCTTGAGCTGCATCAGCAGATAACTTAGAAATAAAAACAACTCTAACATTATTTCAGTTTCCTCACAATGCTTGACAACATTTTAATTCTTGTTTAACTTACTGATTTGAAATATGAAATTTCATATTGTATTCCCTCCCTCTGTGATTTATATTTTTGGCAAAAGTTTTACATTTGAAGAGACACATTTTATAATTTTTATATCCTTGGAGAGAAGTAGGCTTTTTCTATTTTCATCAAATTTTAGAATATGCATGAATTCACTTTATTAAACCACTGCATTGAAAGTTATGTATGTGACAACACACGCTTTCTTACTAAACTTGCCATGGTGCCTTAAAACTCTGAATCTGGCAAAGTGCCAAATTTTAAAGTATCTATTGAATACAATGGTATACACAAGCAGTGTATACTTAATCAAAACAAACAGACAGTTGTGTATTCTGTGAATGCTAGACAAATCCTTGCATAAATTCCGACTTCCTTTACAAATACAATCCCGTACCTTTTAACCCTCTCTCATCATCTGCATTTGTTGATCTATTCCCCCTTATCCAAACCATTCCACACTTTGCCCATCTTAATTGCCCAATGTTAATTGCCTTAAGTGCTTCCTACTGAACTTTTATCTTTGGCAGACAGCCAATAAACAATGACCTCTCTGACTGTAGAAACTTCCTAAAATTGTTGGCAACTGGTCAAAACATTTATTGATTAAACAATTTTCTCAGTCATATTCATTGTAGTTAAATACCACCAGTCCATTTTTTGCCAATACAATTCTAGCAGATTAAAACACCATATGTAAACAAAAGTCATATATTTATAATACACATTTTTGTTCATAGAGTTCTTTTCATTTATTTATAGGTCATATCACCTGCCAAAATCTAACTTGCTCAGATAATAAGAAGTGTCTTGTCAACATTAAAACAAAAAGACCGCAGTGTGTGTCATGTAATATGGACTGCTCAGACTATGGGGCACTAAAAGTTTGTGGAACAGATAATCAGACCTATAGCAGCTGGTGCAAGATGCATCAGACTGCCTGCCAGATGGGTGTAGTGATAGAAACTCAACATGCTGGTGCATGCGGAACATTAGGAGGTAAGAAACAACATACAAAAATCTAGTTCTCGTAATTCCCCGTGTCTCTAGATCCAAATGACGGTTGTTAAAATCTTTTGTCAGTTGTAAAACTACTAGACTTGAAGAAAACCCCAATAAACCACTCTTTTGTGTGTTTTATGCCAAGTGGATAGATGGCACTTTGCCAAGACAGACCTCCTTCGATCCTCACTTTATGTCAACTATGCAAGTAATGCACCTCTTTCAGTCTTTGTCACTTAACAATCTGAAATGATGTAATCCTAAACCATCACCAACCTTCCCTGTTCCAACAGTAACCACCTGATAATTGCACTGCCATGACTTGTGTCCAGTTTGTGGGTTGCACAGCTCCTTTTTCTAAACAAAGCAATAATCCTACCAAATGCACCTTAATTGTATGTGTATGTAACAGTGTATTAGTCACAGTAGATGTTGTGGTGCTCGCATGAATTTTCACCTGTTTGTTTTTCTTCCCTCTTTCCTCCTAGATGCATTTAATGTGGACTATTACGATGCTTCAGGCATAAATGACCCAAGCACTGAGTGATTTGGCCACGGCAAAGTACTGGATCAAGTCTACTGAGCATCTTGGACAGGGCAAGGCAGCAAGCTGGAGAGGGATTTTCAGCAGAATCAGTCAGCATAAGAACGCAGGGGTCTTATGAAAAGCCACAAACACTAAGTTAAATTCCCTGGAAAATGGACTCTGTGAGCTTCAACAAACTCACAACCCAAATATACAGACTGAATGTTACAACCAGTATTATTCTTGACATGTTAGTACTTTGCTTAACAAAGGTGATGTGTTTTTGTGTTGCAAATGATATTACTGTAGATGAAAATATTCTGAATCCTTATCATTTAAAATATTTATTGTAAATTATATACCAGTAACAATTATTTAATTTATGAATGTTTGAAATGGAAATGCAGTTGACTGTGAAGGTGGTTTAATACCATGGCAAATACTCCTTCAGGACAAGTCTAGATCTGTTATTAGCACAAAATAAGCCTTGGTACAAGCTGCCATTTTTAAGTGTTGGTACATGTATTGGTATATATTCATGTACAGTATGCGTACAACAAATGCATGCACATGTCAGTATCATATATAATATTCTAGGTACAGTTTGTATAGACAACTGGTTATTTATGTACATTAGGTATATCCTAGTCCAATCTGAATGTATACATTGGCTATAGTTAAATGTATTTCTGAAAGGTAAAAGTTAGAAATAAACTCCAGTTTTAGGCATGTCAGTGCTACAATTAGTAAGTAAAGAAGGAAGTAAGGCACAGACCTGGATTTTCTTCCTGTCAAGTGCATGTCAGCTTTCTTAATAAGTACCTCAAATGAGAAATCACTGAAACATGCCCAATTAATCTTCCATTTAAGTATATTCCAGCAGTATATTTGGACAAGGTACATGTCCACAAGAACTTGGTGTAAAGTACATGTCCAACAGGATTTTAATTTGAGTTAAGTGTGCAGCGTATAACAGAAAGCCACTCTCAAAATCTGATAAATTCTGTTTAGACGATACAAATTCTGGATCAGAAATGGGCCTTTGACATGTGTCACCAAGCTGCAAGGGTAGTAAATGGTCTCTCCATTGCACAGTAGTCTGGTTGTCTGATGACACAAATAGGACAAATTTCCTGACCAAAGTCATCCAGATTTGACAATAAAGTGGCACATAGGTTATCAGGAATATGTGTTCCACCACACCCTAGCTACATCAGCCGCTCACCTTTATTGTGCTATCAAATCCGACTGTAAAGTGAAAATTTAATATTTATGGTAGAAAGGAATCTCTAGGGTTTGAATTTTCAGTGATGGATAACATTGTATAAAGGAGTATTGACTCAATCGTACTTTCTTCATAGAAATATGTTTTAGTTTATAGTGTGGCTTTGTTAAGTAACTAATTTATTTTCCTGTAAATAGTAGCCTGTGTATGTTAATTATTTAATGAGTTGTTAGACAAAACTAAAGAAAGTAGTGGTACAAAATTAAAAACCAACATCCATAGACACCATATTGATGAAGAGCTCTAAGGAGCTGTAACATTATCCCAAGATGTAAATGTTGTCTTAAAAAATCTTTAAGTTTTGTTGCAGCAAATTACTACCAGAATCTGAGGTCAAATCTGAGCATATTCATGGAAAGTGAGTTTGAATTTTTGCTATAGTGTGCTTCCTTGGCCATATATAGGAAAACTAGACTAGATTACTTTATATTATTGATAGTAGATAACTGCTGCAGTAAAGCTTTTAAAGATCTTTCTTTCAGTTATAATTTTTATGATTTTCTGAACTACCAAGACAAAGGCTATAAGGCAAATTAGTTTTTCTGGAAACTAGGCAAAATTAGGATATGAAGAATTCATCTAATTAAATCAAAACCTATAGGTACTTATTATTTGAATTCTGTTTTTCTATAAATATACACAAGATATAAAGACTATGATATAGGTTCATTTTAGATAAAGAAGACATTTAAATGAATACAACAACTTGTAAAAAGTGTTAGTATGCATCCAAAACAAACCTCTGCTTTAAAGGTATGTGTATCAAATACCTCTTTTTCTGTCAGCATTCTGCACATTACTGTGGTGAACATTTATTTAGTTGTCAATTAATTTGTTCATATTATACAACTGTTAATTATATAAATAGAAGGCTGGTAGGTGCAGGTGTTTCTTTACATTTCAATGCCAATGCAGGCCCGTAGCCAGGGGGGGTTCGCTGGGAAAAGGTCCACTCTGGGTAAAATTTGATCTAGGTACATGAAGTTTTTATGGGAAAAGGTTCACTTTTTCAGAAAAAGAACCCCCCTTTTGAAATTGCTGGCTACAGGCCTGCAATGTATTGCAACAGCATTAGTTACAGAAAAATGCTCTCTGCCTATGTTCCATTCTATGTATGCTTTTGTTCCTGTAAGCAGCAATGTATATACGTTTGTGACTATTTAATTTCACTGAATCTCCGTCCAAGCACATGTCACTTGTCTTAACCATGTATGTAACTTATTTATGTTAGACAATATCCAGTTTATGAAATATTCCAATTAAGGGGATTTTCAAAATATCAGTACCCTGGCCAACAGTCCTAAATTCAGACTAACTGTGCCATCTTTTATGATTCTATTTTCTCCCTAGGTTCTCACTATTACTATAACCCCATTATTCTTTAAACCCACACAAATGTTTTGTGATAATGCTCTCATCAAATTTTGTGCAAGGATTTTATTTTTGTATGTTTTGACAAATAAATGTATTATTTTGCTTATCCAATGAGTGATTGTTCAGTTAATTGCAGAACATCTCTTAAATAATTAACACCACTAAAAGTACCTTACGTACCCCAAAAATTAAAGGGATAACAATTCTTCATATGAGTTCCATATGTCATAATAAAAACATTGTAAACAACTCACAGAAATATAATTTATTCTATTTTACCACAAAAATGGCAGTTAAAGCAATTATTCTGAAATCTGTGCTTGCCATCGGACCATGTGACCTCCATAGATGGCTATACTCTGTAATAATCTTTTAAGATATTATTTAAAAAAAAGAAAAAAGAAAAAAAAAAACAGTTGTTATCCCTTTAATATTCATATTATTTTCCTGCAAAAGGCTTTGGCAAAATTCTGACAGTTCATGAAAAAATGTAACTAATGATTTTAAAAAGAATTAATCATCTCTATTAATAAATAAAAACATAGTACGTTTTCTGAGAAAATAGGCTTAACTCATGAGGGCATGCACGTGCAAGGACCCAGAGTGTAATTGAAGCAATTTGTTTCCTAAAATGAATGCAATGAACAAGGAAGTGTGGCACTGGAATTTCACTTCCTTTCTGTTCATATCCACTTATTCAACCAAATCGGGAGATAACTAACACTGAAAACTACCTGTATTTACTACCTAAAACCAATTAAAAATTTTATGACAGTGAGGGCTTAGGGTGGAAACATCAGCAATTCTATATGTTGTAACCTGCTGCACATGCTAAATATGAACAATTTGCTGCAAGGTGATAGTAATTCACCACTTAAAGAATCTGAAAATTGAAAACAAAAACCAGCTTGAACATAAGTTTTTAAATTTCTTTTTAAATGGACAAATTAAGTGCAAGACTGTTCAAAGCAGCATAAGCAGGACACCCTAAAACTTTTTTTTTCAACTTTCAAAGCCTTTCAGCTTTATCTGGTACCAATAAAATCAAAATTATCAAAAAAAAAATGCAAAACTGAAGAAGGTTTTGTTTTGAACCAATAATAGAATTTTCCATCTGAAATTCTTTATGTCTGGTTTTAAAAAAGCACCAGAGTCATGTTGTTTATACAGCAGCCTATGCAGTTGAAAAGAGAGGGTCTCTGCCTTGTGCACTCTGGTACCAACAGTTTGTGCAACCCCACTAACATTTACCCAGACACATCCCACATGAGGCTATGCATACTGTGGAATGGGTCTGGGCTCTTTTATGTTCTATCTAGGTGGTAACATGAGAGGTCAATTAACAGGGACAGTTTGGTTAGTGTTAAAATTATAGTCAAAAACGCAAACCAAACCCAATATATCTCACCACAAGATTACTGTGGTACACTCCTAAACAGAGAAGGAACCCTATAAACTGTTAAGTACCAATTAAGGACAGGTGCCTTTGCTTTAAATCAGTCTTGTAATTTGGGGAATTCCAATTCTATACATCTGCCAGACTGTTTTAATCTTACATCAGACCAATACAAAACTAGTTTCCTGGAATTAGAAGGGTATATTCACCTTGAATGCTTCAGCTCAGGCGGTGGCCCATGTTCATTAGAAAATGGGAGTTTTCTGTGACAGGTGCAATCTTAACCTTTGGCAACAAAGGCACACAGACATATTGCTCACAAAAAAAAGTCAATAGAAGCAATTGCACATGACAAACTGCACAAAAATTGCACATCGAATAAATAATGCTAACCCATTTACATTTTGTAAAATTTGAAGAATGCTCTAATGGCTGACATAAAAACTGATTTTTGGGCCCATTAGCTTCTCTAGGTACGACAATAAAAAATCGAACAATGAATGAATAGTTAATTGTACATTAGTGTGCGTGAGTGTGTGTGAGAGAGAGAGAGAGAGAGANCATTTCTAGCAGATTAAAACACCATATGTAAACAAAAGTCATATATTTATAATACACATTTTTGTTCATAGAGTTCTTTTCATTTATTTATAGGTCATATCACCTGCCAAAATCTAACTTGCTCAGATAATAAGAAGTGTCTTGTCAACATTAAAACAAAAAGACCACAGTGTGTGTCATGTAATATGGACTGCTCAGACTATGGGGCACTAAAAGTTTGTGGAACAGATAATCAGACCTATAGCAGCTGGTGCAAGATGCATCAGACTGCCTGCCAGATGGGTGTAGTGATAGAAACTCAACATGCTGGTGCATGCGGAACATTAGGAGGTAAGAAACAACATACAAAAATCTAGTTCTCGTAATTCCCCATGTCTCTAGATCCAAATGACGGTTGTTAAAATCTTTTGTCAGTTGTAAAACTACTAGACTTGAAGAAAACCCCAATAAACCACTCTTTTGTGTGTTTTATGCCAAGTGGATAGATGGCACTTTGCCAAGACAGACCTCCTTCGATCCTCACTTTATGTCAACTATGCAAGTAATGCA